AATATATTCCAACTCATCTTATTCGTTCGCATTTTTTTTACTGCATTGAAATTTGTTTTTCGTTTATTTTTGGCCAAACTATTTGCTTTCCATTTTTACGTGCATTTTCATTTGGCATTGCTCTCTTTCTCAATTCTCTCGCTCTGTTTCACTCTCTCTTCAATGAATGCACAGTGCACACATTTTCACCGATGAAATGTAGAAAATGTCGGAAGAGAATGAGAAAAAGAAGATGAAAAAAATGAAATAAAAACTGCTTGCTTTATATCTTCACATGCTCTCTGTATTTGCGAATGGAGCAAATTTAAAATGGAATATTTTGTGTATCGTCGACATCGTCGTTGTCGTTGATGACTCCTCGGTATATGTGTGTTTTCCTTCATTGCATTGCATTGGCTTGGTTTCGGTTTGGACTCTCTATGTTTTCTTTTTGTTATATTTTCTCGTCGTTCATTTCATTTTCCACATACAATATTGGTGTTTTACTTATTTTGCAGTGTCGTGTGTTGCTGTGATGGTATGAGAACGTGTGAAAAAAGTTTGCATTGTGTTTGTGAACGATAGAATACCCTAAAAAGTTCCGACGATAAAGACGACATCGACGCCAAGCATTGAAATGATTACACAGACATCGAATGAACATAGCCAGCGTATCGTATCGATATTTGGTGGAGGAAATCACCAAGAGAAAAGAAATGGAAAAAAGGTAAAAAAAAATAACACGAACAAACGACATCACAAAAAGCAAAGCAAAAGTAAATGCTATGCGAAAAAATAACAGGCAGCGAAGAGCAACAAAGAGAGTAAAAAAGAACAAAAAAATAGAAAAATAAGAAAAAAATGTATGTATAAATACGAGAGAAAAATGGAAATGACAAATGGTATCGTATGCGAGGTGATATGCGAGGTGCGGCAACAATTTTCATTCGTCTCTATACATATAGACTACTATGTATAGAGTATGAAGTGTAGAACTCACATGAAAAAAATAAAATAAAATGCGGCTGTTGTTTTGCAACACACATAGTCAACATACACTGGAATACAGAGCAAATGTTTTATTTTTCTCTCTTTGCAATTTGCGTTTTTGTTTTTGCTTGTTGTGCTTTTGTTTTCATTTCACTTGAGAACGGTTCAACTCGTCCATGTGCGCGCTCATTTTATTTTCTATGTATGAGTATATGTGTATTTTTGTGTAGTCTCTCGGTGGTATGTTTTTGATCACGTCTGACGAACCGTTAGCAGGCAACGGAAGCAGATACATATTCATAAACATATTATTGTTTTGTTCGAGCAATTTGGGTATATGGCTCAAACTATGGAGTGTTATGTGTATAAAGTTGAGTCGAGCAACGGAAAATATCGTCGAGTCGACAGAGTAGCATTGCCACCACCATCTGTACCACCATCATCGCCACCACCAACACCACCATTTCCAACAACATCAGCAATAACAACATCAAAACGAACAACAAAAACTGCAGCAACACGAGCAGAGAGAATAGCACAGGCGTTCATGTATGTACTGTCGGTTCGGGCCAAAAGTTTCTCATGTTAAGTTTTCTATGTACGTGCCAGCATATGAACAACACAGATGTTATTTTGTTCACACGTACGTGTAGATTTTTGGTGCATGCTGACGAGCTTTGGGCGTAGAAAGAAAGAAAAAAAATTGCACGCGACAGCATCGAAAACGAATCGGGTTCAGTCAGACGTTGCATATTGCATGAACTGGTAAAATGCAAACCGGAAAAAAGTTGGCATGTATGAAAACAATGATAATGCTTGAAGAGCTAAGGGTTTCTTTTACATTTGCACAGAGAGTGTCGAGTGCTGAATGATTTTGTGTATGCATTCGACATTACTCGAGTATGGTGGAAAATGGGGAGATTGCTATCAATAGAACGAGGAAAGTGCAGAGAGAATGAGATGTATTTGGCTCCATAACGGAAAAATGATGCAAAATGGAAAAGACACACACACACAAACACAAATATATTCACATTGCTAATATTCCGTGCAATCGAAACTAAATCGGCCAATAAATTCAGAGAAATACGCATTGTAAATCGAACGACTTGAACTTATGGCAATGGATGACGTATCTCTTCCCATTCGCATTTAGTACGGCCACAAAACATCGTCACTGTCGACGAAAATGTTGCCGGCGCGATAAATGTCTTAAATGTCTTTGTCACTCATGTAGATCCCATCCGATTTCCCTTAGCGACAAATTTCCGAGCGCGTTATTTCGAGAGATGCACAGAATCACACTCCACATTTAAACACAAAAAATGAATGTGATGAACATTCAGTCGAGATGGAGAGAGGGAGAAATGGAGATGAAAGAAATAAACTACAGTGAACCGGAGAGATACACATTCAGTTCGGTTAAATTGCGCGCGCGAACAAACGAATGAGCGAACGTTCGTAACGTCGATAATCATAATGCAGACATTAAAGTCAAAGTCTTTTTGTGCACAGCAAAAATAAATACACAAAAGTTAAATACGGCTGAACGAGCACACGCACTCCAAAATTTTAACGATCTACTGCTTTACCCATTAGTCTGCGAAGAAAATGAACGAACATATACACATATACAGTGGAAGCGCGCGCGAGGCGTGAGAAAAGTACCTCAAAATTGTTGCTGCCATAACACACAAGTGAAGCAATACCGAAATCTATTTAAGGCGAACGCGCTCCCATGGCAAAATGAACGAACGAACGAACGAAAATTGTGACGAAGAAAAGAAAACAAAAGAAGGAGAAAAAGAAAAATAAAAACGACCATGCAAAAAGAAAACGATTATGCGACGACCCAAGCGAGGGTGTCGAGCGATGACGATGATAACTTTGCTGCTTTTTTCCATTCCCATTCCAAACACTCATTCCACCTCGACTCTCATTCACTCGGTCGCATTCCCATTCCACTGCTCTTACGCTCTCCACGCTTTCAATGGGTTTTCTTCGGAGTTTCTTTTTGTTTGTTTGCACGAAGGAATTACCGATGCTTTTAACCCTCACACGATATACCAACCGAGAAACGGCGCATCATCTGTCAGCTTTTCTCGATTTGTTTTCTTATTTGAACCGTTGTGTGTAATGTTTGTTGTCGTTTTTGGCTTGTCTTGCAATGTTCGTTCGCTTTATGTCTCGCTCTCCATCTATCTTTTTTCAGTTTTTTTATCGCCAAATCATTCAAACGGAAAACTTAACTCCCCCACAATGTGTCAAAAAAGAAACGGTTTGCTATCATCATCATCATCCTTCGTGCCGGCGACAACGATGGCTTCTGCATTCGTTCGCGCGCGCAAAAAATAATGCTGTGTCGTATTGTGTGTATGGTGGTTACCAATAGTTCATTCAAATGGTGACGACGAGAGCGTTCGATGTTCGCCTTTTCGCCAATACCAAATTATTGCTGTTTCTGCGTTATGTTGCTACCTCTGTTTGCAATAGGATTGGATGATTGCTGAAAAATTTTCCATTTTTTTCCCAAGTTGTTCAGAGAATTTTGAAAAGCCAATTTTTCTGGGTGTTTTTTCACTTCATTATATGGCGTTTACACTCGCATTTAGTTTCGATTATGAAAGCTTAATTACCATTTTTTAGAAGAAACGCCCATCAATATAAATTTAATAGACGTAGAGAGAATGACCAAAGCCAGACGAACTCCTTTCCCTTGTTGCAGAAAATTAATAACCTGGTACCCACAAATAAATCTAGTTGTTTTTGATTTGTTTGTGTTTCAATGAGTTATGTGAGAGAAAAAATAGCACGGAATTGAGAAGATTGAAAAGAACAGAAATAACAATGGCAACTCGAAAAAAAAAACATGCACACACAAACATCGAATATGTAAATAATTTGAGACTGCTGTCCGCATGAATTCACCTTGTTATTTGAGATTGAGCCGCGCGCAATCGTTCCACCCTACACGCACATATTGTATAATAATGCCAGTGATATATATGTACATGTGCATGTAACATAGAAAATGTGTAGTATAGATTGTACTGTCGGTACATCGTACACACCATAAAATACAATGGCATGCCATACTCTTTTTGCCATTTTTACGATACACACAACGCCACTAGTAGCAAGTGATTATGTGCGCTTGCTGCCTTTTTGCTAATGCTACAACAACTCTGCTGGAATTGCTCGTTCATACGTTTCATGTAATATAATTCTACCACCAAACACACAACACATTCGATGGATGGATGGCAAAAAGCATAAAAAAATATGCGAGACACGATATCTGTATAGAGCACACGCTTCAAAATAGATCCATCTATATTGCATAAAGCAGCACATTCACAAACACAGACGGGGAATGGGTGGATGGTAGAATGGAGTGAGAAAACGAAAAAAAAACGTGTTGGCTCTAATACGGTCTATAAGTACTTTTGGTCTCTCGGTTGGCAAAAGCTATGAGTATAAAATTGCTTCGATACGACTGCACATCTATAAGCATACATAAACTTGAAGCGCGTTCAGTTGGTGCCTTTGCTGCTGCTTGTCGTCGTCGTCATCGTTCGTTCGTTTATTTTCCTTTTTCGTTTTCCCGTCTCTTTGCTGCCTTTCTCTGTTCTTTTGCTTCTTCTGTTTGTTGTTGTTGCCGTCGTCGTCGTTGTTTTTTTTTTTTCGTTTTTCCGCTTTAGTCGTATCGTTTTGGTGTGAGCGCCTGTGTTCTGTCGTTCGGTATGTGTACAATTTTCCCAATGCTATTTCGCTCAGTGTGTCGGGCGCGCTATGAGTTTGCAGATAAATATGCATGTATACTTTGGTTTTTCCTCTTTTCCTTTTATTTGGCCAAAAGCAAGACCATTCGCATCTTTCCCATCCACCGTTCATTTGGAAATTGTTGACTCGTGCCAGAGTGAACATGAACAGTGTGAGTAAGTGGTGTGAGAACTGGGAGAGGATGTGTGTGAGAGAGAGTTTGTAGTCTGTCGTGTGCTGAGTGTTCTGTGTGTACATTTCGAAGCGCATATGGTATATGGTATGGTTAGGCGATTTTCCATCATCAGTCGTGCGAACGATGTCGAAGTGAACTGACTTGTTTATGCTTCGAGGCGTCAAAGTTACCATTTTTCCGAACAAAAATATTCATTCACACAGTGAATTTATTACGATTAGCGAAATTTTTCGTTTCATTCACATTTGATTCGTGACACGGAAATCAAGATTTCAAACTTATTTAGAATTCGGTGGCGAATTTAGAAAGGAAGTAAAATTAGTTATTGTGGAAAAAAGGAGAAAGAACCGCATTTCAGTCACCGGCTTAAAACGACTATTCTACGTTTTTTTGTTTGTTTGAAATTGTATGTTTTGCCCAATCGAAATCGGGCGATCAAAGCTAAGGGAGTAGTGTGTTTTTTTTAAATGCGAACATATTATGCGCTGACCGCATGAAGTGCGACAACCATTTATTACGGAATAATAAAATGCGTACGCGAATAAATTTACTGTTTCATTTGTTTGCTTTGTGCTTGTGCTGAAAAAATTGTTTGTCGACTGTGCACTTTTGCTAAATGATTATCCATTTATTTAACACGCAAACCGACACAAAAATCGAGGTAACGACAGAGTGAATGAGACAAAGTGACACAAGCGAAAGGGAGACAGAGACAAAGCCGAAAAACTGCAGTCAGTCGCCAGTGAAAATCAAATATGAATAATTTGTTGTTGAAAATTTATTAACTAAAAATGGTGGTTGACGGTCTTTGTAACATATACATTGTGTGACACGCGCGTCCGACAAGCAGGAAAAAGTGATTAACTCAAACGAATAAAAGCAATGTAACTTTTGCAAATAAGTAAAGTAAATAGCGAAAAGAGAGAGAGAGAGATACACAAAAACACAAAAACAAAAGTGCTAAAATATTCATTGTGTGCAGCAAAAACTTTTGGGCAGAGTCCATTAGTGATGAATTATATGCGATTCGAAAGATATTCGTGAAAAACTTTCAAAGTGGTAAATTGTTCTCAACCAGAAAATCGATTTGCCGAGTCGTTAAATCATTTGGCGTGCCAGTGCTTAAAGTGTTTTTCTACAAAATCACACCGAGAGAAGAGAGATCCAAGCGATCAAAAATTGTGTACTTTGCTCGTATAAAATCATGTTAAGTGTTCGTGTGGCTTAAAATTTTAGTTAATTTTTGTTGCATATTTTCTTTATGGTGTTTGCCATATTTTGTTTAATTTTTGTTCTGAAAATGAAAGATGACAACAAAAAAAGATAGAGAATCAGCTAAGAACAAAGCATCTGCAACAGGTAATTTATACCACGCCTTGTTTTTGACTCACTTTTCCTGTTTCTTTGGTTTATTATACTCGATCGATAATGTACAACAAAATAATTAAAAATAATGTAACATTTTTTGCTTTTATGTTTTTTCTTTGCCTATTTCTATGTACGACAAAAACAGATCAAAATTCAAATTCAACGACAAACAATTCAAGCTCCGTAAATACTGTGACACCTCCGTCACCATCATCATCGGCTACATCGCCAGCCGGAAATACTTTAGAAACAAGCACAAACTCAACAACAAAACGTACAAATAAACCGCTTATGGAAAAACGACGACGTGCTCGTATAAACCAGAGTTTGGCCATTTTAAAGGCGCTGATTTTGGAATCGACAAAAGCGAATAATAGCAAAACGGGCGATGTACATCAACCCAAGCATACAAAGCTTGAAAAAGCAGATATTTTGGAGTTAACGGTTCGTCATTTTCAAAAGCATCGCCACATTGACAATGAGGGTACGCTATTTCGGCTTCTCTAATCTCGGTATTTGAATGACCACCTCACAATTGAACGTTTTTTTTCTTCTTTTTTTCTCTTCGAACACATTCTTTGTGCCAAATGTTGAATAAAAAAATGTAGCGACCGACAAATATAAAGCAGGTTATGCTGATTGTGCCAGAGAGGTAGCTCGGTATTTGTCGACGCCAGAACCACCTCCATTACCGTCTGTTCCATCATTAGCTGATAATGGATGCAAGACCCGTCTTTTACGTCATTTAGATCAGTGTATTGCTGAAATAGAAACCGAAATATGCCCACGTGTAGATCCAGCCACCGTAGCAAATACAACAACAGCAAAAAGTACCATTTCAGATAAGCCCGGGTATGTGTTTTCATATTTACCATTGTTCACATATAAGAGATTCGGATGTGTTTTCATGTGTGCCAAAATAAAATACTAGTAATAAGAAGAGAGAGAAAAAAGGGGTGCATATCACAACAAAAATAAAAATCCATACATTTTCTTCCTCCGCACTCCACAGATTTGAAGACGTTTCAATGGATGGTAATCAAAATTCAAACCCTTTGGACTATAGCCAAAGTGGCGTAGTATACAAGGATGTTAACGGCAATGGTGCAGCTCCATCAAATATTAAATCCAATGAATTTGTTGATCAGAATGGCATTAAATCACCATCAGCTGCTTTAGGCCAGGTAACGAAAAAAAAGCGGAGCAAAAAATATAGGCTTGTTTATTTCTCTCCCCCCTTTTCCCATCAATTTCGAGTCAAGAAAAAAAGGGACCCCATTTCTATCAAATAATTCAAAAAGAAGCTGAAAAAGTATGCTATGGCTGAAAATAATAGCGGTCACTGTATTATTCGTTTCAGCTTTCTCAAGTGTTAGCTCATGCATCGCCTGTGACATCAAACGGTGAATATTTGTCGGATCAAGAATCGAAACCATCCGAATTTGGTTCGGAAAAATCCATTTCTTCGGTTAAATCAACAGTTGGTCTTATCACACCGAAAATCGAACCAATTGCCTATTACCCCGGTTCAGTGTCTGCTACCGCACAACAAATCAAACCGGCTGTAAGTAATGGAAACTATTTTCTATCTTTTACGTGTATTATATTCATTTGCAATAACACATTCTGTGTCTGCTCACATTTCGTTATACAATTCGTACACCATGTATTATTTCATCTGAAATGTTTGCATTGCTATTTAGGATATGACTCAGCTGCTTGAATACGGTGAAATAAAATTGATTGATGCTAGTTCGGCACCATTTCGTGTGCCGCCCCAATATCAATTGGTATCATCCTCGTCTGCTCTCGAAACAATTGATAGCACAAGATTGAATAGTAGCTCCCCATTAAAGCCTTCGCCAATAAAAACCGAGCCGACAACACTGATCAAACCACAATCAACCCCAACTGATTTTGAGAATTTAATCGAAATGAATGCACGCAAACAAAATCTTGATTCAACGGCTGAAATTGCGGCCGCAACTGCAACGGCAAATAAAATGATTAAATTCGAACCAAAGACAATTGCAAATACAGCGGTTGTATCGTCATCGCCGGGAAATATGGTAATTTCATCGACATCGGCGTCACCTTTTTCCAGTCTCAAAGCACAAAATGGTGCATTAAAAGTGAAACCTGGCAACGGTGTTGTGGCTGGTGCTGTTCAACAAATGGATGTTGATGAAACATCAATAATTAGCCCAAATCTAAATCATCTACCGTCACCAAAATTTGCACTCGGCATGGATAATAAGCTAATCAACAAAGTGAAAATTGTTGTGGACAATATGAACGGCGGTGGAAATATCGGAAATTTGGCGGGCAAACATCGACTTGATTTAGATGCAAGCGGTTACCATTTAATGCCACATCCGCATGCATCATTAATGGCAGCCGCTGCTGCACAGCAGGCCGCATTTCCCGGCTATAATTTTCACAGCAGCTTCCATTTATATGAGTATAGTCAAAACAATCAAAATTTTCTGAATCAACATCGCGTCGATGCGGAACATCATAATGCAATTGACGACAGCATGTGGCGACCATGGTAGAATGGAAAATATCGACGCAAAAATAGAGTGATGATTGAAAAACCAAATGAATGAACGAATAAATAAAAAAAAAATGAAAAATAAACGAAAGAACGATCGCAAAAAAGAAAGATATAGCAACACAAACTTACATCCCAACAATTGCACACGCATCCTATACATATATATAATATTGAATTGAGCTTTGCTTTAGAAGGATACAATGCAATCACTTTTAATAAGAGTCCAGCTGGGATGTAGATAGCGGAAAAATACCAGTGACAATATGATGAACTCATTGTTTTTAGTGAATGGATATGTGGCAATTTCAGCGCACAAACAACAATAAATTATATATATATTAAAGCTGTTTTACCAAAGACGAAAACAAACAATTCCAATTGCTAGTCTCTTTTGCCGAACTTCGAAAAATTAAGGAAAAACAAATTCTTAAACCTAATGAATCTTTAGTGCAATTTTCAAACCAAAACTGTTGAACTGTGTATGTTTTAATTTTTATTACTATTATTATATCATCAATTGATTATATACACATGTAACGTATTTATTATTATTATGTTTATGTATAAATAAATGGATGGATGTATCAATAAAATATTGTATAAATCTTAAGTGGAAGTACTAAAGTTTCTATCTCCCTCTGATTGCACTGGAATTAAATGAATTGTAAGCTGCTGAGGAGAAGAGAAAAAAAAAGAAGAAAAACCAAAGCACTTAATTGTAAAGAGAATGCTCGAAAAATATAAATTCAATCGAAAAAATAAAAATAAACATGAAATGAATTCTTAAAATTATTGAATTTGACTGTGGTTTTATTTAGTTTAGGTCAATTATTCGCTTTTTACTTCAATTTCTTTTGGGAATATTTGTTGGCATCCCAAATGGGTATAAAAATCGCTGTCAATCATAAGTGGAGTTGGCACACCAAAAAATATATCATTTTTCTTCTCCTTTACAAAAATGTCGTCCAATACAAAATATTTAAAATGACAAAGGAAAATGGAAAGAAAAAACGTGAAAATTTATCGATGTATAATGCTGTTTCCCTGCCATTGCAAAATGTATCATATTGCGGCTGTATTGACGGCCGATGTTCAATGGATTTTCGCTGCATGAAAATAAACAAAAGAAGAAGAAAACAATCACTCGTATGCTAGCCAATTTATTCACGATCTATTTTACGTTATGCACGTACCTTCGAACCTCGTCCATTTGTATTCGCATCTTGTCCAACATTCTCTTCTGAAAAGCCTTTCATCATTTTTGTTGCAACCGGCCCCATAAAGTTATTAACGACGGCAAATTCCATGAGGGACATAAATACGAACACCGAACACGATGACATCCAAATATCAACCGCTTTTACATACGATACAGGTGGTAATGATTGCTGTGACTGTGTATTTTGTGTGGCTTTGTTCCGACAATGCGTGCACCAGAGATAGAAAGGAGGAGAAAGTGAGAAAATTGTTTAAAACGTTTTTCAGCAAGTAAACAATCAATATGCGTGCGTACCTAGGGGCAGAGCAGTACTAGAATAATCATTTTTGTTTAAAGTAATTCTATGTTGTGAGTAGTAATCCATATTAATCCGTAGTAATACACACTTACGTAAATTTTAACAGCAGTGCAATGAAGTTTCATGTGTACGTTGTGTATGACATTTGCTAGGCATAAAGCGATCGCCGTATATTTCGGATGAGACATTTTATTGTTAAAAAATGGAAAATAACGAATTTAATAAATAATAATATTTTATTTTAATTAAATTTTAACGAATTTAATTTAATAAATATCGAATAAATTGTTTCAATGCGCAATATACGACGATCGCTTTATTCCTAACAAATGTAATACACAACGTATACATGAAACGTCATTGCACTGCTGTTAGAATTTACGTAAGTGTGTATTACTGCGGATTAATATGGATTACTACTCACAACATAGAATTACTTTAAACAAAAATTATTATTCTAGTACTGCTCTGCCCCTAGGTGCGTACAGTGTACGCATTGTGTGTTTTAAAATCATATTGGTGCTTAACCAACCTAGAGTCAATAGAGACGTCACACCAAGGGTGATGCGGGCTGAAAAATCAGAAGAAAATGTTTCCATTGAAACTGAAATGGTACAAAGTATTGACATTGCATCACCTGGAATTGCTTCAGGTTTTATCCAGAATGAAATCCAACTCATGACCACAATGAGCGCTGAAGGTATGTACGTGTGAAAGAGATGATAGCCCAAGCGGCGCCGTAATTCAAATACCACAGCCAAACATGTAAAATTGCCCGTGCTGAAATGCTCAATTGATTGTAACAAATGCGGAATTTTGATCGATAGCGCTCACAGAAAAATAAATCATTCACATTTCAATTATTAAAGTAAATCATTTTCATTTGAGTGGAAATCATGTTCACATGTACTTTCCGTTTTAAATTTTTGCAAATTGCCTTTTTTTCGAAATGAACCCAATTTGGTGCTTTTAAAACCGAAATTATTTTAATTAGCTCTTCAATATTCGTCCCTTTGAAAAATGGACCTTTTTTTCCTTTTTTGACCTCTCAAAAATTACATCCAAATCCAATATACATATGTCATATGTATATATTGAATCTCTACTCCGCCGTTTTACCTGTATTCTATTGTACAATCGTTGGTATAAATTTTTGAAATATCCTGTTGTGGTAATTCAATATCGTCATTTACGACCAGCGCATCGGTCATATTCCATATAAATACTAAATCCTGCACCGTGTGCGACACTGTTACCAATGAAAAAGAATACAAAATGCTCGTTGAACCTGTCTGAGTGATATTACAATTTTAAATAGACTTACGGCTTTCGATTAGCATGGAACACACTTGTGTATCATGCGGATAGCTTTCGAATTTCATTGCACAGCTCAGATGTAACGTCAATCTACTCATAAAAAAAACAAGCGTGGCACCACATTTTATAGTTATAGATGTTGAAACACAATATACCAAAGTGATAAAAAAAAGTGAAGAGTGTTGCATATACTTAGCCATATAAAGTAGGGTTTTATCACGATATAACCAGAGATAATGATTTGGTATGCTCATTTCGTGGAATGTGACTTTCTTTGCGTTTTTGAAAAAACTGTCCGGTCTCCAAATGTCATGCAGCCATTCGACATCAAGTATTCGATATTCTTCTAGCATATCGGAGGGTAAACGAAGACGAGGATCTCGCCAACTTTGCGCCAAAAATATGTCCGTCACATAGGTCATTGATTCTTCATTCACTGAATCAAGACTGAGAACTGAACGAATAACGTATACTTTACATTTCAGAAATATGCGATTAGGTGCAAATAGATTCAAATCGTATTACCAGTGACGTGAAAATAAACAACCGTGGGCTGCTTTATAAGTTTGGGCGCTCGATTTTTGTCATATGAACGTTGTGTTATTGGCATTATATCAGACAATGACAATGTTGAATGCTCTTCTCCTTGGCTATAGCTGCTATTACTGCAAAAAGATTCCACTTGTCAATGGTTAGATCAACAAAAATTTCATTTTAGATGAAAAACAAAAAAACAAAACATACCTGTAATGGCTCGAGGCATCAACAATATATATACTCATTTGTTCGTTGCAAAGGAATAGAATTACAAATATGGAAAATCCATTAAATGGATTTCTTAAATTCATCATATATGATAAGTGCCGTACGGATATGATCACACCTAAGTTTGTTTGCATCTACGCACCCAACTTTCAATCACCTATTCTGTCTCGTTATTCTTTCTATTCACTCTATTCTCGGTTTTCGTTCTTTTGAAATTCAAATTTCATAAATTTTCGCACAAACTTAGTAACGCGAAAGTAACAACCCATAAAAACACATCCATACTTTTAACCAAATGAACTTTTCATATTATTTACTGTGAGCCATCGGAATATATATATGTACGCGAGTGAGAAAAACGTTTATTTCCACATTTGCACTTTTACTGGTCTCATTAATAATAATGAATGCACATAAAGTTTTGCGGAATGAAAACGAATGAGAATTGAGTGAGCGTGAACGAGAGAGAAAAAGACCGAAACTTTTATTTTTCATTCGATGTAATAAAATATTTTGAATTGGTTGGAGACATTGTATAATATAGCGAACTCATGACCCCTTTTTTGTTTATATATCAATACATTGGGGCAATTTTCTCTAATATGCACTAATTAAATTAGATGACAGCAACAGCAGAAGCAGTTAAAAATCACGCACCACAACATTCAATAAAAGAAAAAATCTCGCCGTATTGCCCTTTTTTCTACACACTCAATTGGATTGCTAAAAACACAATCACTTATTTCAATTTAATAGATTTTTTCCAATAGATTGAAATACAGGAAATTCTATTGCACATTATCGGCACGCCGCGCTTTTTTCTCTTGTATGTTTGGAACTTTTGCAATGAAAATTTATTATAAAGCCTAGAGCGTTTAATTGGACCAACGTTTAAACACTAAACCAATGTACATATAATGTTAAAAAAAAAAAGGTGACAGCGGCAACGGCGGAAAGCGAAAACAATGTCACAAAGTAAACAGGTAAATGTTCCGTTGCAATAACTATATCGTCTCACAATGGATGGTCATCCCTCATTTATTCAAATCATTCGAACCGTTAACCATTCCAAGTTAACTGGCCACATGCATCAATTGAAGACAACCTCTCATATGACGTGTAACATACAACATGTGACTGTATAAACACAACACAACACACATACATTCGCACTTCTCGCCCGCCGATGACAGTTCATCCAGTATAGATACACAACAATCTCTCGTTGTGGTTGTCATCGCAGTCGTCATAATAAAACAATGTCAAATTCTTGAATAAAATAAATTAAATAGATAAAAATTTTGTTGTTCTATTCGTTCTTTTCTTCGATGCGATTACTTTAACAATTCCACGAATTAGAATGCAAAGATAGTCGTAACACAGTTGTCAGTATAAATAGAGCGTTTTGTTTTAAGTTGGGACTTATTATTTTTTTGGAAAGTGATTTGATATACCAACAAACAAGTCAATCATGGAAACAAGTCGCGAAGAAATGTGTAAAAGTTTGACCGAATGGTTTTTTGTATTTTATAATGAAAATTGCGTTTCATCCGATCAACATCTCGTGAAAAACTATTTAAACGATTTAACCGATGGAGTTGCAATCGCTATGGCTCTACAAAAATTAGCACCCGACTATTTTACACGTAATTCAAACATCAAATGCACATATACAGACCTTAATTGGTGTGAAAGTGAAATCTAAACTCGACATTTTTTCTTTGCAGAAGCATGGTTTTTGAAGCTTAAAGTTGATAATATCGGTAATAACTGGCGTCTCAAAGGTATGAATGAATTTAAATAACATAAAAAGTGTTTGTGCCGCATTATTTTGAATGATTTTTTTTGTTGTTTACAGTGAGTAATTTGAAAAAAATCATCGAAACTGTCACCGAGTATTACAATGACGTTTTGAACATTACACTGACTGAGTTTATAAGTCCGAATGTGATGAAAATCGGCGAAAAAGGCGATCCTAGCGAATTAGGACGTTTTCTACAACTGGTATTAGGTAATTTTATTGATATCTCGGGAAAGTCTCCAATTTTCACTTATGTTTCAACAATTTAATGTTAGGATGTGCAATAAATTGTTCGTCAAAGCTGGATTATATCCGCCAAATTATGGAATTAGAAGAATCATTGCAACGCAATATAATGCAGGCAATTCAAGAGCTTGAGTCATCATATCAAGGATCAATGGCATCCAAAGCGTCATCGATAAGCAATTTTGATACGAAATCCATCCAAGAAGATCGCGATCGACTGGCACAAAAGTGCCACGAAGCGGAAAGACAAATTGCACTCTTACTTGAGGAAAAGGCACAAATGGCACAGGAATTGAATAAACTTCAGCGCGAAGTTGAAATGTACGAAAATCCAAAAGGTGCTATAATCGGAGATGATGGAACGTCGCTAGGACCCATTGGTAACTATTACATTTTGCAAGTTTAATGATCACCAATTTTCAACAAATTGTTCAATTCAAAAGGTCCCGGATCAAATCGACACAACGACCTACGACGTCAAATTGAAGCACTCAAAGAAGATTTATTACAAACAGAAGCGCAACGGGATGATTTTAAAATAAAATCGATGCAATTGGAGGATGAGCTTGTGGTGTTGAAACTTAAACTGGATGAATCAAGTGTGAGTGAATGATATTTGGTAAAGGCAAAGAGAGTTGAAAATGACAACGATTTATTCAATTTTCAGCAAGCTCAAAGTGAATTGTCACAATTGAAGGACGAACTGGATGCATTACGTGAGGCAAATGACAAGTTAAAAGTGAGTGAAGCACTCGTAACTACATACAAAAAGAAGCTCGAAGATTATTCAGATTTAAAACGTGAAGTCAAACAACTTGAAGAAAGAAATGCGGATCTAACACAACAAACGTTACACAAAGAAGAAAATATGAAAAAGTTATCGGCACTTAAGGGTCAGATTGAGCTATACAAAAAGGAGATTCAAGAATTGCATAGTCGGCTCGATACCGAAATCAATAAATGTGTTAAAATTGAATTTGAGCTCAACAATTCGAATGCAAAATTGACTGCATTACAACGTGAGTACGAGAATTTGACAGTTGAACGGGATTCCCTCCTGGAGCAATGTGATCAGTTCCGATGCAACAACGGAATGACAACGCCAAGCGATGGTGCCCGTAATGCAATTAGCAATGAACTAACATTGCCAGCACAACGAGAGAAAATTCGACATCTAGAGGAAGAGAATAAAGCGCTCCGTGAAGGACAAGGTGGTCAAACGGCATTGGCACAAATGCTTGAAGATGCCAATCAACGTTCCGAAAAACTTCGCGAACAATTGAAAGTGGCCAATCAAAAAATTCTCACGTTAACCGCACAAAACGGCGCCGATGGAAGTGATTCCGGAAAATTGGCACAACAAAAAGAATCTCTTGAGACCAACGATCAAAAAGGTGAGACATTTTGAATATTTGTAAATAAGAAAATTTAAATTGAACATTTGTGCGATTTCAGGTCTTCAAACTGAAAATGGACGATTGCAAAGTAAATGCTCACAATTGGAAGCATCGCTGAATGCACGTGAACAGGAAATCATTCTTCTTGAAGCAAAATATCGAAAGTGCGTTGAAAAAGCCAAAGATGTGATCAAATGCTATGAACCACGGCTGATATCATCAGGTTTGTTATATTACTCGAAAAAGATTCGAAATCAATCATTTAACTTCAATCATTTCTCTAGATTCACCTCAAATCACTGATAAGAATACAGATAGTGAAAATGAATTACTTGTGGCATCATCACATTCACAACCAACAATGAGTCCTCTTGAAGAGCGATTGATGGCAACTGCTTACCATAAGTGAGTAGTCGAAGCATTTTAGGCACCTAATTCTAAATTAAATTTTTTTAACCTATTCAATTTGTCTTCATAGCTTGGCTGTATCATGTCAACGAGATGTAGTTGATGCCCGTTTGGCTCTGATCAACGGTGGTGGTCAGAGTTTTCTATCTCGTCAACGACAACCTCCGACACGAAAAGCATCACTAAACAAACGTACAAAATGACTGTAGTAGTCATGGTTCTTTGTTTTGTTACTTTTTTCCGATCATTTAATCAAGTTTTCTTTGCTTTAAAAGTCTCACAAGTAATTGTAAAAAAGAGCTTACACAGAGAAAAATTTCGCACCTGTTTATTAAATTGTATTACATACATCATATGTATTATCACTCATATATTATACCCCCTCAAATTGTTTATATTTTATAACGATTTTATGATTTGGCATCAATGTTTTTTTAAAGTAGTTTCATTTGAGCCTTCATCAATTTATGACCAAAAATGCATATGCACACATACACAGTCAGACGTAATCCCACGAAACTGTTGAGATCGAATAATAAATGGAGAACAAACATTATTTTTCTAATTAAAAGAGTTGAATATATTTCATTTATAAAAATAAAATTAAGTTTTTTCACACACACACAATGTTCATTTTAGTTTCTTTTAAAAAATTGTTGTTAAAATTCAATTCATAGCATCGTCAGTATTGGCAATTGCACGAAAACTCTCCGCAAAATTGGATGACTGGATCAGTTTTTTGGTGATTTTCTTCTTTTCGTCGACATCACCGATTCTATCTAGTGGCGTCCACGTCTGATCTAATTCCAACCGATAGCCTCCCAAGTACTTGTGCAATAATTTCATTCCCCATTCCTGAACAAATTCATTACATTCAATTATTTTTATATGTATGGAATATATATCCCTTACCTGAGGTGACAGCATACTGAAATAACATTGTCCTGATTCACGTTGATATAAATAGTATGTTTTGCCAGCGACTTTTTTAAAATTACACGCTGCTTGATGTAAATTAACGTCCGTTTTAATATCGCGAAGTATTTGATGTGCTTGCGATTGTAGAAACCGGATCTACAGATGAGAAACATATGAAAAGGGAAGAGAGTTCATATACAGTCTAACTATATAAGATTGGTGGCTATTTGGTCTTATATAATCCAGGATAAGACTTGTCATATACTCACTTGATCCAGAATCAGTGTTAATTTTCCACTCTGATTATTTACTGCAATGTCTGCATTTTGAATTTCTGACGCCAATGAAATTAAGTCGAATGCATTGTGTTTCCCAACATAGTTTGGATTCAGTAGTTCATAGCCCAATGGTGTTGTGTTTCGTTCCACTAAATTCACTGTTGTGCAAACAATTGAGAAACATGGATAATAGGAACGAAAGCAAAAAAAAGCTAAAAATAATCAGAATTAACCTTGTTTTGAATTCATTCCAATGCTATCATCATTTGACAAATTTTCGGTCGCTGCACGTTTCATTTTGTTTGTTATTACTGCTTTAAGTTGAAAAGGTAACAAAAAAAAAAACTCGAATCAATGTATGTAATAAATACAATGTCACAATAAAGACTCTTTGCTTCTTCGACTCTTTGCTGTGTATTTATTTGGATAAGCTATACATATAACATGTGTTCAGTCATACACATGTAATCTACCGTGGTATACGTAATACATATGACAGTTTGTTCACAATACAGCATTGGACGCATTTGACGTACAGCATCACAAACGTGTCGCTACCATCGCGTTCAACACACACACACAAGCACACTACAGCCAAAATAAACGTTTGTTTTGTTATCGTTCTTCCACGGAATTCCATTCAATTTATATGGAAAGTTATTCTAAATAATTGTAAAAAAAGCGACGAATAAATAATGTAAATCTAAGTTAATTTAGTGTAAGTAATTCGCATATAATCCATTCATAAAAACAATCATTTGTCAATGCAAACCAAAAGTGGCAACACTGAAGCATATTTGAAACGACAAAGCATGAATGTGTTTGTTCGATCATCTTTTCAGCTTTAGTTCTATTTTCATTGAGTTGCTGTCGTGTTGTGCACTTCAATCCATCTCTCACAAAAAGGAAGAGAAAAAACCTTTTTTTCTCTTTTACATAAACTGTGCTGTGTTTTTTTTACGACAAAAGAACTGAAATCAATAAAAAAATTTATAAAAGAGTTGTGAAATAGAAAAAAAGAAGAAAAAACAAACACTGTAAAAATGTTAGAATGAAAACGGAGTCATCGAGATTGAGTGAGTGTTAATAAATTGCTATCGTCTCTTCTCTGTATAGAATACGAGCAAAGATAGCGCAAAAATGTAGAAAAGAAGATGATATATAAGGTTGTCATATCGCCACACACAATTCACGGACACCGAAAAGAAAAATGTTTCGAACAAAAAAAAAAAAAAAAAAAAATGTATGCGTCAATCGAACCAGAGTGCCGAAAAATGAATGACGACGAAAAAACAGCAAGACACATTTTATTATTGCTTAAAGAGCTGAAAGAGAAGTGCAATGTGCAAATTGAAATGAGCCTATTTAACGCATTGGGTCATCGCAGCCAGTGATTTGACGTCGATTTTTCTCGAATCACATTGCGATGTGAATTTCTAATGTGTGTGTATGTATGTGTGTGTGTGTTTTATTTTTGAATAATCGGCTTGAATAAATTTGGAAACGGAATGTTGTCAGTTGTTGTTGTTGGTTTCCTTTTTTTGTAGAAAATTTTGTGATTGAATGACCTGATATGCTCGATATTTGGATTATGGTCAAAATGTTGCCTTTTCACTGTTGCATTGAGTGAACGAATGAGTGTTGTGCGTGTATGTGTTTCTATGCACAAACGATGGTGTTTGTTTTTGTTTTGTGGCTCCAATGTCACGAATTCGTCCGGATACACGCAATGTAGAAGTGCACTTTGCAAATGTTTATCCTGTTGTGTGGCGTGTGCTCAAAATCAAATTTTATGAATGAATTCTTGCATGTTGAGTTCGCTCTTTTTTATTCGTGCAAACAATTCACATATTATTCGAGTCGTGAACAAATATTGTATACATGCGATAACTATTCGATTCAATTGACTGTATAAATTGTCATAATCGCTTACATCAACTTTATTTAAATGAATAACATTTCCGATGTAACGAGAACATGGACATGGCGATGAAATGATGATCGATTGTAAATTGTCATCGTTGATATTCATGACCGAACGTTCGTCCGACTTTTATAGCAAAATGCATCGTTTTAAAATGTATTAAAAAAACTTCATTTTTGTGGGATGAGTTGCGAGAGACACACACATAGATTATATCATTTTTGTTACGCGCTGCGTCATATTATCCCATCCACATGAATAATTCTGTGGGTAAGGTACAGTGAGTTAGTCAGTGTGTATGATATGTACGGGTTTTGTTGTTGTTTTATCATAGTTTTTTGTTGTTTTTGTTGTATTTCTACTTTATAAAGTGTTACTACATCTCATTTACGTATAATGCAATATGAACATGCTTGTGAGTATCAGCGCTACAAGAGTAGTTCCGCACAAATACAAAAGCAATCAACAATCATCATTGAGCATTCTCCTAGTACCGACTCTAATAGAAAAAAAAACGACATTTGTGTTGTTGTAGCCGCTACAATTTTTTTTCTCTATATTATTCCATACGTTTGTTGGTGTTTTTCTCTCTGTTATTGTTCGTTTCACTACGATTCAACGTGTTTATTGTGTGTATCGCTGTTTTTTGGGGCGGGGAATTTTTAATCAAACACTACACAGCGAAGAGAAAAGAAGAAAAGAAAAATAAAATGCGCTTAAAGTCAAAGAATGAATAAAAAAGAAGGAGAATAAAATACACGATGAAGGAAGAAAAGAAAAAGAAGTAGTAGTAGTGGAAACAGCAACAAATTATAACAATTACAAACATTTCGTGTGTACATTTGTATGTGCCATTGTATGCTTGACTATAAGTGTTCTCTCTTTTTCACATTGTGCATCTATTTTGTCATTGTCAATGGAGTGGATAAATATAAAACATATAAGCGCAAATAGACATCAACGACAGAGACAGAACAAATCAACATACACACTAAAATGAGAACAACAACAACAACAATCAAAAAGACAAACACAAACACACGAATACACAAACGTCTAAGTAAACATGGATAAATTCTGATTTGTTTTTATTTTACATTTTATCAATTGGATTTGAATGAATCATCGTCCACGATCGAATGGACGATATGTATGTGGTATAACCCATTGTGAGTGTGAATAAGTGTTTTACCATTTACAGAAATAGTTTTGTGTATGATGCATCGATTCGGGGTCCAAATGTTCATTACATTTCACAGCATACAGTATAGACATGGTACAAATTAACGTGTACAGATCTCTCTATTAGCAGATTGGCCTTTTAACTTGTGATTTAGATTGAATTTGTCTTTTGCGTGCCTATGTGTGTTTAGTGTTTTGTGTTGCAATTTCGTATATCGAGAGCGCAGCGTTATATTCATTTCAGTGTTGAATTCAGTGTTCGTATCGTCGTTCACCGTATCAGTGTGTATATTGTGTTGAGCTGTGAAATATATTAGAGAGAAATGATTTTGTCGAGTTTTGTTCGAGTAGAAAATTTTTCATGTGTGAGAGAATATGCTGATTGAAGGTATTCACGCTTTCCTTTTTCCGTTGAACGAGCAGAGAGCTCGATTTGCATGTTGTACAACAACACACAGGAAAAGCCATAATACATAATGGAATCATACACTTCGTGGGCTGTTGAATTTTCGATACGATGCCATGTTGGCTATAAATAAATGCGGCACTTTTTTTTCTCTCTTTTCTTTATTTGATTCTTTTTTAGCCGACACATTTCCATGTCGGTTTAATTTTTTTTTTCGTCGATAGTGTGTGTGTGCATATTTGATATTGAGGGAGAGAAAATTGTATCTAGAGACCGCTTTAATTATACGCGTGTGCATGCAATATGTAGATAAAAATCGTTTGGTTATGTGACAATTTTAACACAGAGCCTTTTGAAACGCCACACATACACACAGATATATTGTAGAAAAGTTCCTGTCAATTTCTTTTCCATTTTTATTTTTCAAACTGGGGGCTAAATTGAAACAATGACATCGAACGCTTGTGAACAATGTCAACATTAGTTTTCAACAGAAAATAGTCGTGTTACTTACGTGCGTTGAAAAGTTTTCGTTTTCCCTTTTTCGCTATCGCTCTTTTTCCGCTTTCCGAATAATGTCTTTGGTGCGCATATATTCCGACAAAACTGTGAATTTACTTCATCATTTTGAATGCCGGAACATTTCAATTCGTGTACAGACCAAAGAAGTAGTGCACAAATATTGATGTAACTAAAAAAAAACCATCAAATTAAAATATACAAAATACAACCGATTTAATACATCCGGTGTGCCTTCTATATTGTTGGCCAATTTCTTCCATTAAAGTAATTACATTTTGTACCGAAGTTCCATTCGTTCTGCACAATTAATGTGGCAAGAAAAGAATAATTAAAATGAAAAAAAATCATCAGAATAAACTGATTAATTGAAGTGAATTGGTGAAAATATGTTTGAAATGAAAAACGTTATTGTTTATGTCGACAGAAGACATAACTATATACACACGAAATGCGAAAATATATATACAAACATTGTATATTCGCACATCTTGCGAAAACAAATAGTTTCTTATGAAAACTTCCGTTTGATATCTCATTTCCTCGCGTAACGGATGTAAACACAGTAACAAAGTGTAAACAAAACCCTCTCGATTGTTTTGCATTCGTCAAGATGAGAACAGCCCTTTTGCCATTGTTCGCAAAATTCATTTCTTCAGAACAATTGAAAAATTAATGAACTGAAAGCCATCACAACTGTGCCAAAAAAAAAACATTCCAAAAGAACAAAGATATTTGAATAAATTGTAATAACAGTGAGCGAAATAATGACATTGCTGTATCGTTACATCAGATGTGATTTGCTGCACGCATCTTTTTTCGCATAAAAAAATGCTTAAGACAATAATTAATGGGAAAAGACCAAAACTGGTAGAAACAAACAAACAAACATTTTGAAAAAAATCCCCAAGTTTAAAAGTCACAAGCCAGTGTTACACAAATTGATAATTGTATGCAAACAAAGATAGACAAAAAAAACCTAGACATTTTTTTTTTAATTTTTGTAACACAAAAACCCGCACACATTGATTAAAGTTGCGATAGCAAAAATACCAAAAAAAATTATTCACAATCGCATATTTTGGGATTTTGCAGATAGTTAAAAAGTGATAAGTACATTGTGTGCATGCACAAGAAATCGATGATTCATCATAATGTTTATCAACGTCAGTGACAACTTTTAGATTGTTGCTTATTCTTGAAGTTGTCGGTGTGGAAGTTGGCATCGTATTTAAATCAAGTAAAGAAAATAAACAATATACAGTGACAAAGACATCAGTAGCAGCAGTAGTAGCATACAAAAGGATAATAATATCAAAGTTGTGATAAGTTTTGCAAAATCAAATGGAAAAAGTAATTCGAGGCATTTCAATTCTTCATTCAGTGTAGTCAACTTCAAAAACTTTGACAAAACAAATGTACAAAGATTGCATTGAATGGAATTGCAATAGTTGAGTTTTCCTACGTGCATCAGCGCTTTTATGTATTTACACCTTTTATTTTCCATATAAATGTTGCGATAAGAATTGGCACGACTCCAGGCAACAAGAGTGCAATATTATTCCGTGTTCGTATTGTGCAATGGTTTCAATTTCACTATTAGTTGTTGGCCGACGGGATTTTCTTTAGTCCCCGATATCATGCATATTTCATGAATTTCGAGATTGGATAATTCATTATTGTCTATCTAAAATTTAAATTTATTGTCGCAATTACAAAGTGCCGATGTGTAAATGAATTGAAAAACAAAATTGATTAATCGTATTTGTAATCGTTATTTGTTCGGCTGTATTTCGATTAAATTCCATAGTGTTTGCATTAGAGTTTGTGCCGCTTTTGTACTCCAAAACTCACACAATAGGAGGAAGCGAAAAAAAAAGTAACGAAAACAACGAACAATTCAATTCAATTATCATATTCGCAATGGATTGATAAGCAATTTTTACTGTGTCAATCATGGCATTAATGCAAATGTCAGTCAGAAGCAACAGTGCGATTCAAAATGGAATATAATAATAGCTTCGTTTGCGTTTTGTTTTTTGTTTTTTGTGTCTACTCATTTTTAATTCAAAACTTGCGCACACACACACACGCATACTTGAATCGCCAATTAAAAGTTGAGTCATTTTCATTCTGCATTTCGGTGTCTGGTGTTATTGACAATAATATCACAGGAAATGTCATCAAACACACTATATTACTTGCTTATTAGTTATTACTGCAATTTATGCAATTTTTCTCTTCTTTCAATTCGTATTTACATCGATATTTTGTTTCTATAATAATTTAATTACAGAGTCGGGTCAGTGATTTCGAATATATCTGATACGAGCCCTACGAAGAAGGCAGTGTATGTGTGAGAAACACACACATACAGAGAAAGAGAGAGAGAGAGGGAGATAGACAGACAATCGATAGAGAGTGAATGAAATAAAGTGGGAGAGAACAAAGACACATACTTATAATTAAACGAAATCGACAATCAATTGATATGATAGCACCGGGAATTCGGGTGGCGCGCGGTCCCAATTGGATTTGGAACGATCAAGGTATCATCAATGAACATTCATTTATTGCTTGTACATAAATCAAACTGTAATTAATAATCGTTTTGTCTTCCAGATGATGGAGAAGGTCACATAGGAACAGTTTGTGAATTGGGAAGGGCTGGATCTACATATTCACCAGAGAAAACAGTCATTGTAAATTGGGACTCTGGTAATCGGTCAAATTATCGGGTCGGCTATCAAGATCAATATGATTTATTGGTCGTTGACAACGCACAAATCGGTATGTTGCGTAGTGACATGCACACGAATCTCTCATTTTTTTCATTCATTTATTAATCAAACGCTAATTTTATGTTCATATAATTTTTATTACTCCCGTTCGTTGTTGGATTTCGGCGATTTGAAATTAAAAGGTGTGCGACATGCAAACATTATATGTGATGGCTGTTCGAAATCGGGTTTAGCTGGCATTCGCTTTCGATGTGCACAATGTCCGAACTTTGACCTGTGTTCATTATGTTATGGTGACGATGTGCATGATTTGAATCATGAATTCATTCGATTTCAAACTGCCAATTCGGCCGGGTATGTCACATTCAATAGGCGACGTAGAGAAACCGCATGAATCATCAAATTAATTGAATCAATTTTTATTGCTATAGAGTTCGGGTGCCACCACGTGCCGGTTCAGTCAAACTAGAAATGAAAGGCATTTTCGTTGGTGCCAAAGTTGTGCAAGGCCATGATTGGGAATGGGGTGGTCAAGACGGAGGTGAGAATTAATCAAATTAAAATTCTTTGAACATTTTCTTAATTATTTTTCCGTCTTTCTTCATCCATGGTGATGTAATTTTCAGGCAAGTCTGGTTTGGTCGTTGAAATTCGAGGTTGGGACAATATTTCATGCCGTAGTGTAGCAAATGTATCTTGGGTATCCGGTTCGACCAATGTAATTTTCAAACATTATCATTTTTTCATCGACGTTCATTTTAATTAGATTCGTTTTAATTTCATTATTAGGTATATCGATTAGGCCATAAAGGAAATGTTGATTTGAAATACATTCAACCAGCGTCAGGCGGTTTTTATTATAGAGATCACATGCCAATTCTCGGTAAAAAGGAAGAACAACAACCGGTAGCGGCAGCAACACGCTCCACATTTACAGTGGGTGACCGAGTCAAAGTGTGTTTGGATCGAAAGGCATTAATTAATTTACAACAAGGGCACGGTGGATGGAATCCACGTAAGATATTTTTCATTTTATTTTCACAAAAGTTGTCCATTACCAAAGTATCGCTAATCCACTCGTTTCATTTTTCCACGTCCAGGTATGGCTGATTACCTTAACAAAGTCGGTTGTGTTCATAGAATCACCGACAAAGGTGACATTAGGTAAGGAACTTCTCATTACTCACAAATAACTTGCACTTTCTTGGTTGTATACACATATCAAACGTGTTTATTTCAAATTGTGTCATATGAATTGAAAACTTTTCCTTTTCAAACCACTAGAGTTCAATATGAAAACTGTTCGAATCGTTGGACATTTCATCCGGCAGCATTAGTGAAAGTGTGTACATTTCAAGTTGGCGACATAGTTACAATTGATACAAATGCGACTAAAGTGGAGAAATTGCAAAAAGGTCATGGTGAATGGGTGGAAACGATGCGAAATGTAAGTGAACATTTTAATTGCCCATAAACATAAAAATTATAACTGCAAATACACCACAATTGCGCAAAATTACAAAAATATAACGAAAACAAAAACTTTCTATTCAAAATCATTGCAGGCTTTGGGTAAAACAGGAAAAGTGACAAAAGTGTACACCGATGGTGATTTGCGTGTGCAACAGCTTGACGATGGTTTTGCATGGACATTGAATCCAAAATGTGTGAAATTAGAGCGTTCACCGGCCATAACAGCAATAGCCACCGAACGTTCGAATAGTATGATGGATTTGAGTCATCAACGCACTGACCATGTAATGACACCATTGTCCGACTTGTCTGGGACATCGGCTGCTGATAAATTGGTACGTGAAGCTGCATTGGGCCGATTGGATTATGTAAAACAATATTTAGATGCACATCCCGATCAAGTTGATTGTATGAGTGCTGGTAAAACTTGTCTTCAAGTGGCTGCACATCAAGGACACATAAATATCATCAAGTATTTGTTATCGGTGCGTGCAAATGTCAATATTGTTGATAAAGAGGGCGATTCTACACTTCACTATGCGGCATTTGGCAATCAACCAGATATTATGCGAATACTACTCATGCACAGTGCTCACATAAATGTAGTGAACTCAAGTCGATGTTCAGCGCTGCACATTTCAGCCCATAAAAAGCCACCCCATTGTGTAAAAGTTTTACTTGAATTCGGTGCAAATGTGAATATTCAAGATAGCTACGGCGACACAGCGCTTCATGATGCAATCGGCAAAGAAAATACCGAAGTTGTTGAGCTATTATGTAATGCAGCAAACCTTGATCTAACCGTTCGAAATAATCGTGGTTTTAATGCATTGCATCATGGTTCGTTGAAAGGAAATGTGGCCGCAACACGAAAAATCCTTCAATTAGCTCCGCAACTGGTTGACATTAAGAAAAACGATGGATTTGCACCGTTACATTTGGCATCGTTAAACGGTCATTCAATGGTTGTTGATGTTCTTGTTCGTGAAGGCAAAGCCGACATAAATATACGTAACAATCGACGTCAAACTCCATTCTTATTGGCTGTGGCACAAGGACATACAGCTGCCATCGAAAAATTGGTCGATTTGGGTTGCGATGTTTTAGTCAAAGACGAAGATGGTGATAATGCGATGCACTTGTGCGTCATCAAAAAAAGCAATTTAACACAAGAAGTGAGTGCTAGTGAAGCGCCCAAGATTTATGCAATCTACCAGAGTTTGGCACATTGCCATGAAAATCGTTTAATGTATGCAATTCTATGCTACTTGGCACAAAGTGGTTGCCAAATTGAAACGAATAACAAGGGCAATCAAATTTTGCATTGGATATTGGATAAAGAAATGCAAGACATGATACTAAGCTATGTTGCAAAGGCTCGTGCGGTGGATGCGGTGAGCGGACGACGACCCGGTGTCAGTGATTTAAGAAGTGAAATTGAACAAACCTATTCAAATATACAAGCATTAAATTTATCGGACAGTGGCAGTGTTAACAATAGTTTTGGTACCGAATTCGAACGTGACGATGCCATGCCAGGCACTAGTGGCACTTCAAATCAATCGAATCCCCCGACACCGATGCGACGACAACAGCAACGCGATCAAAATGCATCACCATTGAATGCAAGCGGTGATGAATTGTCTGCAAATCAGAATATACCAAAGAAATCGAATATCGATGATTCACGATTAGCCGTACGTGGAAATACACCAGTTGCCGCAGCAGCAACATCGACACCAGATACAAGTAATTTATATGCAAATGCTGACAATGAAATTGCATCGTCATCATCTTGCAGCTCAACTTCCAAAGATAACAATAATTTCAAGCAGAATACAAGCAGTTCGAGCGGACCAAACGACACCACCACCAATGAAACGCATCATTCAAATAAAATTATCAACCAAATTCATTCGGTGCAACCGAACGAGTGCATTGTATGCAATGAAATATTACCGTTGGTAATATTTGGATCATGTTCACATCAAATTGCATGCAACGAATGTTCGATGCGAATGAAAAAGTGTTTGTCATGTGGACGACAAATTGAACATCGTCACGCTCCAAATGGCAAAGATATATCAACTGTTAATTCAGCAGCAAGTCGAATGCAAGTTCAGGTGACGCCAAGACAACCAGCCGCCGATGATCGGTTACGATATCTTGAAAGTAAAATTATGGAATTTGAAGAAACGCATAGTTGTAGCATTTGTATGGAACGTGTACGTGATGTTGTTTTCTTGTGCGGTCACAGTTGCTGCTCTCGATGCGCTGAAACACTAAAAACGTGTCACATGTGCCGAAAGCAAATCGCCAAAAAAATCTATTTGTATTAGACATAGAATACACCGCGTATACACCGATTGACCGATTTAATAATATGGATCATCATTCGATATCTCGAAAAAAGAAAATTGATAAAAAGAATAAAATCTTAAAAAAAATTGAAAACATAAACTGATTAGCATCGTTTATCAATTGATGAAAAATGAATGTATTTACAGGGTGCACACATTTATGGCTAAGATTGCATATATTTTGAACATTTTAATCAAATATTACAAAATGTACCAGTAATGTTAATGCTCTATTTAAATTGTTCAACTCTATTTTTCACCATATAGTCAAAACTTTATATTATGTAATGAAATTAATATACGGAAAGAATGATAAAGATAGGGAAAGAGGGGGATAGGTAGAGAAAGTTTAATAACGTATATATTAAACTGACGCATCGTAGTCTCGACTAAATTGTGAATTATAATTTACGACAACATTTGAATGAAATCTTGAAATGGAAGTTGCCAACGGGTATTGAAATTCGAAACTGGAGAATTTTACCGTGTAGAAAAAGTGAAAATTAAAAAGTCGCAAATTAGATTTACTTGACCGAAACAAAATAATAATAATTTATCTACATTTTGAAAGTCTGATAGTTTTCTCAAATGTATTTCGTTATATAAAGTCAGCCATAGATTCAATAAAAAAGGAATATGGAAATGAAAACTCTAATCGGAAAATAGTTGATATACAAATAGATTTCATATTCAGTGTAGTATTTAGGATCAGTCAAAACCAATTCGGATTGCATTTCTTATCGTCCATTTTGTTTTAATGAGTGTTGAGACAGTAAAGTGCACATGCAATAATTACACATACAATTCAAATAACTGTATATTTTCGTAGCTATCACTGGCAAAATAACATTATCAGTAACGAAAACATTTCATATCGCCTCACATTTGCTAGATACTCTGTTTTTTTCAGAATAATAAACAATAATCAATGGATTATATATTTGAAAATCGTAGATATCAGCAAAGTTGATGATGCAATTCTCTAGTAAACATACAAACAAGACTTACTGATAGATATTGATTATTTGAGTCGAAAACGGTTTTGAAAATTGATAATTGAGCAATTGAGCGCGAAAATCACAATTCCTTAATTTTTTTTTTTTTTAAATAGTCAGAGTTTTTAGTTTTGCTTGATTTTTTTTGCCAGACTCAAAGGGCACCTTATCACATTCACACACAAAATACAATTGTAACATTTTATTTTAAATACAGTCGGCTCTCGACCAATCGGTGTTTTGAGTATAAATCTACATAAAAATTCCGTTCGATAAGTCATTTTTCCTGAAAACATTCGGTTCAAGTCGGCTGGTTTTAAATAAACTTTATATTGATATGGAAAGAAGCATCGGTCATGAATTTCGAGTTAATCTTTTGTTTCATTGAAAGTAATATCAAAGTTCATAATCGATATTTTTCTACATTTCAATAAATGGTTTATGAAAATTGGTGATAAAGCTTTATAGTTATATTTTGTGTGCAATACTGCCATATACCTGACTATATAGACGAAAATCCAGAAAAAATTAATGAAAAATCGAAAAACTGACAATTTTTAGATGCAAATGCGTAAAATAAATCTCTAAAAATATGTGTTTCTTTGTCATTTCTGAGATTTTTGTCAAATAGTCCGAACTATGGTAAGTTAATAATAAATGCATCATTGAGCTATCATTATTATTTTTGATTAAAATGATTACACATCTCGTATCATAGCATTTGTACTTGTGTTTTCGCTATATTTGCGAATTGCTTTAAATTGCCCTTGCATTTGTACATAAAACTAGGTTTTGTTTGTCATAAAACGGTATATAATGAGAATTAATGCGAATAGAACGTTTTCTTCCTTTTTTTTATATTATAATAATTTATTTATTTTAAATTATTACCCATTTTTTTATTATTTTAAGACTTAAGTTACGCCTAATATATTCAATTTACAATCAAGAGTTAAAGCCGTTCCAGATAATCAATCGTGAATGCATTGAATAAAAAAAACATCAACATAACAATTTACGGAAAGAAACAAATGATGATTTCACAATGTATTTTTTATTGAATAACACACGAACACACACACCTCGCATTCAGATTGAATTCTTTGCAACAATTTTCTTTCCATAATTTCCCAACATAATAAGGACCATTTGATTGTAAGCAAAGTACATGTGTATACCAATAGGTAGGATTCGACGTGCATCACAATGTTAAAGAAAACATGAAATGCCCATATATCATAGGTACATTTAGAGATTGAAAGATTACAAACAATTCGGACGAACAAAATAAAATGAAATTCTGTATTTATTCTCGTAATGTTGAAACAAAACAAAATAAACCTTATAAAGTTATTGTTGCTAATATTTTTGTGACAATTCTGTAAGAACCCCAATAAATTTGTTGACGAATATGTTAATAAAAAAAACCTACATGGCAAACATGAATAAAATCAAATTGTTTCTTTTATATGTTTTAAAGATGATTTTCAATCTTTTACATTCCGACTATTTAATAGAAGAAAATCCAGTTTTGATGGCCAGTCTATGGAATTCGGTAGACTTTGTCTATTTTCGTCGCAATTAAATCCATTAAATAAACAATGAACAACAACAAGCATGATTAAGTACGTAATGGAGCATACATTGTTCTCTGTTGCGATATTGCGAACATTCCAAATTCGTTCACAAAATTCGCCTGAACGGTACAATTATTATTCATTAATATTCAATGATGCACCCTTGTCAGTGCATCGCCATTTTCGATATTTCAACGTATTGACCGATCCAGAGAATTGTCAATATTTTATAACCCATTACCGTAGTACACCAGAAATTAAAACACTGTAGAAAATTCTCGAACGATTATGGCTGGAAAAATAATCATGACTCGCTACAATTGCAATTTCTTATCGTTGTTATTTTGTTTTTATTCCTGATAAAGAGACCACTAACGAACTTGTTATCAATTCAAGAATAACCTATTGAAAATAATCTCTCCCATAGTAACAATTGAATCGTTATCAGACATTTACCCACGATCTTTTTAATAAACAAAAATAGATGCAAAACAGAATTGAAAAACAAAAAAAAAAAGTTACGCAAAATTAATCCAGTAAAATATCGAAGAGTTTCTACATTCGTTGTGAAAATTTCAGCTGTCCCAATATGTCTGTATTCACACTGGAGAATTTCCCAATTTTATACAGTTGAATATGAATTTATTTTTGTCTCTTTTTCTTCTTATGATGATCAACAATTGAGATTTTCGTTATAATTATCTGGTTCCCCCCGTTGAGAAATGACATGCTGGATTTTAACGTCATTTCCAACATTTCAATTGAATCAGTGATTAAATTAACGCTATGTCTATTTGAATCGCTGTTGAATCCATCAAATAAACAACAAACAACAACAAGCGCATCACATTATTAAGTACGTTAAACAAAGTGATAAGACCCACAAACACAAGCAAACAGCAGATCATACCATTTACAGCGCTAATATTCTGTGGACAAAAGCTTGTGTGTATTGATAAGTAGACTCTCGACACCGCTCGACACACAGTGAAATATGCACACTCATACACATTTGCAATGGTCGATTGAAAGAAAAATTAAGAATATTTCAAAAAGAGTGAGTTGACAGGCGAAGCATATCACTTGGAATTGAATCGTTTCGGTGAGTAAACGCATAATTAGTTTGGCCCGATACACAACACCATAGTGCTCATAAATTCATCTTATTTTTCAAGTGAGCTGAATTTTTTACATTTATTAATACACATTAGAATCCAGACGCAACCGACTGTTTCAACTGAATTATTTTAACACATCTCACAAACATTTCCTCTTGTTTTTTTTGCAGTATAAGAAATCAAAAAACAGCAACAACACAATGCCTGTAGACATAAAAAACGTTCTGGTCTGCGATGCTGTCGATGAATCGTGCATTGAACTCTTGAAGCAAAATGGAATTAAAGTAAGTTAAAAAAAATTCCATTACATTTGCGATCGCTTAAAATCTATACACAAACATGGCAACCAAAAGCATTCCGATGCTAATGTTGTTGATATATTCGTTGGGAGGTGAGGCGCTCACATATTTGCACGCAACTAGAATGACCGAAGAAAGAAAAATCATAAATCAACCGGTTTTATAGTATGCATATTCATGCATTTTGATCAGAACGAATAAAAAAAGCAAATTCAGAACTGCAAACGCTCTTGAATGGTTACTTCTTCTCTTTTCATATGAATGTATTCAACAAGTAGTCGTTGACTGGCACGTGTATAAATGAATCGGCATTTTTTGCATGCATTCATGTGCATCGATTTTTTAAAATAAATTAAACCATTGCAATTTTAATAAATAAATAATATAATTCTATTTACAGGTTGACTACAAATTGAAATTGTCGAAAGAGCAACTTTGCGCTGAAGTGAAGGTATGGTTATGTCACTGATTTTCTTATCATATTCTCATGTTTCAATATATATTCTACTCTATTTCACTACAGAATTACGACGGTTTGGTTGTTCGATCTGATACAAAAATTACAGCTGAAGTGCTCGAAGCTGGTGCGGGTCATGTTAAAGTTGTCGGCCGGTAAGTTGATCGGTTTATGTGTGAGTGAGTGCTTTTAGTTAATGTCTGAATTTTTTTGCGTATAGTGCTGGAGCTGGAGTTGATAACATTGACATCGCTGCCGCAACCAAACACAACGTTATCGTTTTAAAGTGAGTCGAATGAAAGTTTATTGTTTGATTTTTGATTACAAAGTAGCTAATTAATTTTTGCGTATAGTACGCCTGGTGGAAATTCAATTTCAGCATGTGAGCTAACATGCTTTTTAATCGGTTCGTTGGCCCGTCCCTTTGTGCCAGCTGGCAAAAGCATGAAAGATGGAAAATGGGATCGTAAATTGTATTCCGGATCGGAATTGTACGGTAAAACATTGGCCATTCTTGGTTTGGGTCGCATCGGTCGAGAAGTTGGCATCCGCATGAATGCATTTGGAATGAAAGTCATTGGATTTGATCCAATCACAACGGCAGAAGAAGCAAAAGCTACGGGCATTAAAAAATTGGAATTGGACGAAATTTGGCCTTTGGCTGACTATATTACCGTACACACACCACTCATTCCAGCCACTAGAAATTTAATCAGCACAGAAACACTTGGAAAATGCAAAAAAGGTGTTAAAGTCATCAATGTTGCACGTGGTGGTATCATCAATGAAGCTGATTTATTGGTTGCTTTGCAATCGGGACAATGTGGCGGCGCAGCAATTGATGTTTACGAGCAAGAGCCACCAACCGCTGATGTAACAAAACAATTGATTCAACATCCAGCGGTCGTTGCCACACCACATTTGGGCGCCAGTACAGGCAAGTCACTTTTTTGCCCATTGATAAACCTTCTTATCATTTCACGTTCAGTTCAACAATCATAGTATTCGTAATTATGTGTAATTTATCTTTCGTTTAGGTGAGGCTCAAGTACGTGTCGCAGTCGAAGTAGCTGAACAATTTGTCGCACTCACCGGTAAATCAAAGGAATACACCAAATATGATGGCGTTATCAATCGTGATGTCTTGAAAAAATACTAAACAACATATTCCGTTTGAAATACTTGCCACCACGTTTATGTGTTGACATTCTTTCTATTCTCACAACAAAAAATTATGAATAAAGATAAACAGTATATTTCTTTTTTTTCTTAAATAAAAACGAACTTGCAAAGTATTTTGTCTTGGCTACGTGTTTATTTGAGCGCAATTTTTATATATATGTATATATTTCTTAATTTATTCAATTGATTTTTTTCAATGAAAAAGGTGTCATACAAATCAACTAAACCATTTTGCTGTGATGGTACATAAAAAAATGTTTACAGTCAATTCTCTACATATATTGCAATTAGTATTCGTTTATAAATCGATAGAAATTGTATTTAGCACATGATTTCATCTTACTAAAAGTGGATCACTAACATTGCAAAAATCTTTGTCATCAAATTGAACCGAAAAAAACACAAAATTGTAAATTAATTCACAGTGTCCCCATAAACACTGCCGAAAAGTAAGTTATTTATTAATCGAAGGAGGAAAAAAATGCTGTTTTCAAAACACTTATTACAATTTAATCTTATCTACAGAGGTTCATTTGACTCTGTCATACACTTGCTTTATAGTAAACGGGTGTGTCCGGTCGGCATTACGCTCGATTTGTGCATGTTAAAACTCGTGTAATGCAACCGACACCATAACGAGCGTACACTTTTTCATGCCATTGCAATAAATGAGCGCTGGAATTATCCGATGGAAATTCGAAGCCTCGATAAATGTACTTCATGAGAACGTCCACCAAATCCACATCGTTCAAAGCTGTTATTGCACCATCCATTTGAGTGGGTTTGATCGATAGCAGTACTTTCAGTGTCAATTGTCGTGCACTTTCCTAATGTATCAAATGAAAGAATCGAAATCAACATTTCTGAACCACATTGAGAACATTATTCAAGAGATTTACCTTGGTTTGTTGATTTTTGCTGGTCAATGGTGCATTTTCAAGTACCAATTTCAACGCTTCAATATTTTTGCCGGTGTTAATTAGTTTTGTTATTTCTGCATCATCGGGTCCAGTGTATGCTGTTCCATTCGAATCAATTTCGTCTTCTTTGAAATTGTCTTCATTGTATTGATCGACATTTATCTTACGAAAAGCCGAACTTGATGTATTCTTTGCCATTTCTTTTGTTTATTTTGCTATTCAAGTACAAAACTACGCTAGTTTTGCTCAATTTATTATCAATTCCAAAGCAATTTGGTGATTTAAACCGCACCTTTTGCGATAAATTATTTAGTTCACTTGCAATTTAATGTATAAACTCAATGAAAAGAGATAAAAAAAAGAAACATAAAGATGATTCAGTGGGGTAATGATATATATGTCATAAACGTCGTGAGAGTGAACATTGAATTGAAGTTGGATGCGAGTAATGTTAGATACATTGGATTTTGACTATTTGAAATATTCGTTAATTTTTTTTCTTCAGTCAAATGATGGAAAAATAATTTAGTTAAATTATCCAAAAATATTATACGACATTTTATTTTTTGTTTGTAAATTTGTTTCTAGCAAAATATTCCATAATACGATTTTGTTGTGAATGATTCTTACAACGGGGCAATGAACGCACTCACTTTTAAATGCTACTTCAGTTGTGTCAAGCGGTAAACAAAATTGTAAACATCAACCATTTGAATACAAAAAACGGGTTCAACTGAGTCGTATTTACTGTCGTTCATACATGTATAATGTTTAGAAATTTGAAAGTCAGTACTTTTTTTGATGTAATGTAAAATGCAAATTATGCGAATATTCATATAAGAAGAGCGAAATAAATATGTATTCAAATACCGGTATGTCTAAAGTTGACTAAAGGGCACAATGCATTTTTACTTACACGGATCAATAGTTAAAATAATACAAATGACAAAAATTAAAATGTATAAGGGGACAAAAACATGTTTTGGCTCATCCTTCATTTTTATTTCAGGAATAAAGTAAATTCTCCCGTTAACAACATATGAGCAAGATGTTTACTGATCGGCACCGAACGTTCGATTAAGTTTAAGCGATACATGTGCAGGATTCTTTCCCAGCATTAGTGTTGAAGCGTATGCAATTGAAAATACTCCGCAGGTTTCTGCTACTTTCATGATAAATACAAATGTAATGTCCGATAGCATTCACATCACCAATTTTGCGTCCATATAAAATTTGAATGTCATCGGCGTTCGCCAATTTTGCATGGACGCTGTACTTTTCTGGAATTTGGCCCAAATTAACATTGATCATTTTCAATTTAGACTGTGCTTTGCTGGCAAACTCAATGAAGAAATTAATGCTCTCATCACTTAGGACCTTTCGCGGTTTCATAATTTCGGTCACTACTTTTGTTAATTCAAAAGAGTTTCCTCTAACAAAAATTAAAAACCATTGAATTTCATAAAAATATTTTGATTTTTAACTTACAACACTTACATACTTGGAATTTCTAGCCCTTCTACAGATTCATGCACATTTTTGCATCTACAACCGAAGTTAGACTTTTGGCGAAGATAGACTTTTTCATTTAGAATAACAGATGCATACTAATAATGCACTACAAAAAAATTAGGATAAAAATACATAAATTAATATATTCATAAATATTGCAAATTATCATTTTCATGAAATCGATGAAATTTAAAATTTAAAGAAATACTTTAGTTCTACGTAGAACTGTTCGTTACGAATTGAAACAGTGTCAATATGAATCTTCCAACCAAAATCAAAAAATGTCATCTGCTCAACAAGAGTCACTTCAGTGGACTTTCGCCCTGTATAAAAATAACAAAATCAGCGGTTGTTTTTTGGACTTTCGTTTTATTGTGTGAATTTTGAAATTGATTAATTCTAATCAAATACATGGTTTTAATATAAACTGATTATTTTGATAAAGTGAAAAATGTATTTTGCGACAAAAAAGATATGTTATAAAATGTTCAATAAATGCTATAAATTTTCATACAAAATCTGAACACTTCGTGTGTATTTAAGAAAAGAAGGAATTTTTCGGAATCAAACATAAAACGTTTTGAGATTATAACTATATCATCTACATACAAATTAAACGTTATTCATCGATGTATTTTTCAATGTAAATGGGTGTTTCACCAATTTTTTCGAAAAAGCGGACAATTTATTTTATAACATATCTTATAAGTCTCAATGAAAACACATTTCCAAATATGGCATAGATTGTGAATTTGTAAGAAGAATTTTTCAAGTGTGTGTGTGAATTTAACATTGTTTCTATTCCACAAAAAGAAATGTATAGAGCATTTTTTTTAACATCAAGGCCGATCATATCTTAGAATAATTGTTCTTTTTCTCTTCTGCAATAAAAACAAAAAAAAACATAAAATCGTTCTGAAATGATTTTTATTTGGATTTCAATTTTTCGATTGAACTGACGAAGTCGAATTTTGCTTTTTTGTGTATGTGTGTTCTCAAAAAAGGAAAATAATAAACAGGAACAAATTACAACTCTTATGGTCTGTATAAATTTAGTGATCGCAATGAATTATAAAAAAAAGGAATAACAAGAGGAACGGTTGGCAGAAAATGCTAAACGAGATATAGACCAAGCAAAATGAATGTAAAATTCTTTAAAAATCACGATCTTTTTTCGCTGAGCAAATCGTGATGCTCCAAAGTTTGAAAATGCAATTGGGTATGTCTGTAGCTCGCCGATGTGGAAAGTGTGCTTAAATAAGTAAAACAAAAATTGCTTCTATTGCCTGCTCAAAATTAAATAACATACGATTATACAATCATATCAAGAATTTATTGTAATTGATCACCGTGATAAGTCAGATTGCGTTCGATTGAAGACTAAATCGAGTATGAGATGTGTAAGCTATAAGAACCTACAATATCTAAATAATATAGTGGCTATATTAATCGGATGGAAGCTATACAACGTAGCTAAAAACTACAAATATTGTGTAAGTATGTAAATCGGACAATCGGTTAGTTATAATAGAATCATCATTAAATACACGAAGAATCGTTCATGGCTTAATGCCCATCGTTTGCTATATTTCTTTCATTTCAAAAATGTATAAAGTGTATTTTGTTTCTGTTGCCTTCAATAAAAAAAAAATGGTAACGCACAACGTCAATTACAATAAAAAACAAAGAATAAAACAATAGAACAATTACATTTTTTTTCTACAAAAAATTAGTGCATAAATATAGGAAAATAGAAAAAATTCTTTGATAAAATCAAAGATTTCACTGAACATTAATTTTGAACTTAAAACATGTTTGTTTGCTTTTGTTTCCTGTAGTAATGTTAAATTCGATGTGAATACAAAAGTAAGCACGAAATTGTATACAATTTAATGACGACGTGAGCAACATTATAAACAAAATTTTGAAAAATTTGTTATTTTTCTCTTTTTTTTCATCTCACAAATAATCCGCCTATATTCTATGTCGAGCTATTTTCAAAAGGATATACTATATACGTTAAACTCATTTATTTCGCTCTTAATTTACTTATTAAATTGTTGTTATTATTATTTTTTTGTTATGTGTTTGTTTGTGTATGTCTTCTTCTATGTGTTTGTGTTGAATATTTCTTAGGTTCTATAGAAGGTGTCTGATTTTTTGCTGTAGTTCTTATGAATATTTAGCCTTTTTCGCTGCAATAGATTTTTCATTACGAGCTTCGTCAAGTCCATCTAGTCAATCTACATCTAATTCTTTTGCCTGTTCCCATGGGAAGCAGTCACGTCCAAAATGTCCATAGCAACTGGTTTGTTGGTAAATTGGTTTGCGTAGATTTAACTCTCTGTTTGAAAAAAAAAAAAGACAAATTAATATCAATTCAGAGATTTTATCAAATTAATTTGGCCGAAGAAAATGGTAATTTTCAAAAAAAAAAAAAAAATGTGCACTTACTTAACAATGCGACCAGGTCGAAGATCGAAATTACGTTTGACGATTTCTAATAAGTCTCTCTGAGATCGTTTCGATGTTCCGTAATCGAATACAGTGATTGAAATTGGTTCAGCAACACCAATGGCATACGATACTTGCACCAAACAACGACGACAGATTTTGGCTTTAACTAGCGATTTTGCTACCCAACGTGCTGCGTATGCGGCTGATCGGTCGACTTTTGTGAAATCTTTTCCTGAAAATGCACCACCTCCATGTGCACCCCAACCGCCATATGTGTCGACGATAATTTTACGTCCCGTCAAACCAGCGTCACCCTTGAAATTCAAATGATTTTAATTAATAAACCGAAGTAAAAAAAAAACAGAGGAAACTTACCATTGGACCGCCAATAATAAATAATCCGCATGGATTGATGTGTACGATTGTGTTTTCATCAAAATACTGTTGCGGAATTACGATCCGGATAACTTTTTCCATTAATTCACTACGTAAATGTTCCAATGTGACTTTTTCCGAATGTTGAAGTGATACGACTACAGTATGAACACGTTTTGGTATGCATGCTCCCTTGTCAAACAAGTACTCACACGTGACCTGCCAAATAATAGAAAGAAAATCAATTAATTTTCATTTCAAAATTTATTGGTGTTGCAATCATTTATTTTAATTGAAAAATTACATCAGAAAAACGTTTTCATCACTGTTCAATCAAGAGTAGCAAATAATCATTTTTTGTTTTTGTCAACATCATGTACTTTTCTTTTCAAATTTTGTTAATTCTATCAGCAAGATTTATACCTTGATAGATTTTGAATAAGAACTAATTTTATCTGGTACGTACCTGTGTTTTTGAGTCTGGACGTGCCCACCAGAATTCTCCAGAACGACGAAGTTCGGCAATTTTAGCATTTAATCTGTGTGCTAATACGACCGTCAACGGCATACACTCCTCGGTTTCATCAGTGGCATAACCAAACATCAATCCCTTTATTTAATTTTTATCAATAAATGGACAAGAGACAAAGAAAATAATTTGAAAATGAATGTCATTGTTTTTGAATAGAAAACAAATAATAATCGAAAAAACGTGAATAAACTCGGTTAATATACAAATATATATCATGCAATTGGAATTAGTTTACACATCTGTTAAAATAAATTATGATTGTATTGATCTTTATTAATTTTGGTCAACAAATGAATTCATGTTAAATTTTGTATTAACACGTTTAGTCCAAAAATGCTCGAAATTGTGAATGTTATTTTAAGGTGAAATCAATCGGTTTCAAATGAATTTAGTATATAAAAAAGCGATTAATTTGTTTCTGAAAACAAACACGTGCAAATTTGTTTTTTTTTTTTTTTAATATAAAGATGCGTTGGTTCAACATGAATTGATTTGAATGAAGAGCGATAAATATATATACAATAATGGAGATTTTGATTCTGAAAAGTGGTGATATGCGATTGTAGATGAATTTAGATGTTTTGTTTGCCGATTGATTTCGATCAAAACTATTCTACATTCAACAAAAGTGACTGCGCGCGAAATCAATAACAACAAAATAATAATAAAAAAAAATTGGAAGACATTGCATGAGCAAGTTCAACTAAGTGCATCAGGAAAAGTGAAAATCCTTTACAAATCGGTTTAAATAGAGATAAAATGAAACATAAAAGCAACGCTACGGAATTCGAAGAGAGTGCTGACCTGATCACCTGCACCGATATCATCTTCGTCACGGTTCACATGAACACCGGCTGCAATTTCAGGCGATTGTTGATCCAATGCGAGCAAAACATTACAGGTTTTATGGTCGAATCCTTTGAAACAAAAGAACGAATCAAAATCATTTGTTTTTCTTTAATTTCATTTTCAGGCGCAACACTTTTATCAATTTTTTTTTTTCATCATTTTTGATTATTTTATTTCAGTAATATCGCTGTCATCTTGAATTCGGCACTAAATGACGACGCTTCGATTTTATTAATGTATCGTTTGTTGAACTTGATATTGAATGTATATAATGTTGGCGTTTTACGACAATATTACGTCATTATATCTGTCAATATAAATTGTGACTAAAGACTAAACATTGCGATACACTGGAAATTCTTGTTTAAACAATATCGTTGTAAAAATCGATATACTCTATGGCAAGCACTTGTGTTACGAATAAAATGCTATAACTATTGTTTGCGGTTGATTGAAGTGGGTCACTGCCCTCTCTTTCTCTCCATCAAAATTCAAAGTTTGATTCATGTTTACCAATTTTACATACAAAAAAGTTTCGGTTAATAGCATGCAAAATAAAACACAGGCTACAATAACAACGATGATAAAAATAGAGTCCAAATACTAGATTTTGGGGAATTCGCTGAGGTCAAAAAGGTTGATAATTACGTCAAAAAAATAACGATTCGGACAACACAATGAATGGGACAATCACAAAAATAAATTCAACCATTGTTGAGGTATATTTTTCTGTATTTCAGCAAAATAAATAAAACGATTCCCATGTGAGATGCAAAATGAATATGGCAACGATTGATAAAGAATTGTTCCCAGAATTTATGAAAAGAAGCAAATTTGAAAATGTTGTTCCGTAAGTTTGAATGCTAATCATTTCTTTTTTAGTGAAACAAAATTTAGTAATTTATTCGGTTTGTGTGTTCGAACACGATTCCCTGCATGATTTTCTTTGTATGGGTTTATTTCGTGTTTTGATTTTTGTTTGTGTGTACCTGATCACCAGCACCGATGTCTTCTTCCACACGATTTACATGAACACCGTTCGCAATATCAACGGATTGCTGTTCAAGAGCTACCAAAAGATTTAGGGAGCGCCAATCGAAACCTATAGTTTGTTGGTAGTTGGTTCGGAAAGTAGAATGTGAATAAGGCTTTTCATATATCATTCGGTTTTGTTTTTCGTCGGGACGATCACAATAAATACACTAAATAAAATCGAACGGTTCATCAAACAATGATGTAAGATGTGCGCCATCTCTCGTTTCAATTTCACTCTGTCTCTGTTTTTCTCTCTCATTTTTTTTTTAGATTATGCATAAGAAAGTGTACGGAGTCCGTGTAGAGAAAATGTGAGGGGCGCTCGGATGTCAAACTTACCTTTTGAGGAATCGTCATATCCTATATGATTTACTGTGTCACGTACAACTTTTTGATAGTCTACAACGGCTTTGCTCGTAATTTCACCGCACAATAAAATCATTCCAGTTTTAGCAACGGTCTCTGCAAATAAAAAATAATTATCGATTTATCACAATGAATTTTCTTTCAAAAATCATCTATATCATTCATTCTTTAAATTGATAAATGGTATTCATAGTGTGGTTGAGCTATTTTCATAATAAAACAAGGAAGCGAAAACGAAGTGTTACGAAATTGAAAAATTACGTGAAAAAATAAATGATTGAGTCAAATGGATTTAAAGAGAAAATTAACATCTGTGGCAGAGTCGGTTTATATCAAATAAATTAGTCGCCTCGACACGATATGAAAATAAAGAACGACATCGTGAAAAAGAAGACGAACAAAAAAGTTACGCATACACTGTCGCCCGACGACAATCATATGAAATAGATATTTTTAGAACACAACAATAGTAAGCAGTTGTATTGGATTACATGCAAAACACAGCAAAATGCGGGACACAACACCACCAAATGCTATATAATACTCTAGTTTGAAGCAGCTGATAATATCAGTGCTTTGTATGTAAGTAGAAAGCACATTTACATCCCATTTTCCGGTACGAGAAATAATCAAAATAGCCACCGTCGACAGTTACATCAATTTCGACGATTGAATATTTGTAGTCACGTTGCCTTGCTCTACATATACACGAAAAACATCGATGGCTCTTTGTATTTTGTTGTTATTTTTTTTTACCGGCATTCTAATCGCTTTGCTTCTTTAATATTAGGTTTCAAAAGTTGGGCTTTGTAAGTGGTGATATTGTCTGCATGCATTTTTGTGCGTTCATCGGCGCTTTCAATTTGAATACATAATTCAAACGATTTAACTTAAAAACATCTCAATTCGACTCATGCTAATTTTATCACATTCAAATGTGAATTTTCGACGAAATCATTTCAATCAACAATGTGGGAGATTTTTGCTTTTAACAGAGAGTGGAAGCCTAGGGGCTACCCACGAACTCGATACTAGAAAAACTAGAACATATTAGAAACATGTAAAATGTACATGTTATATGGCGTTTTGATAGAAATATTAGAAAAAATTAGCACATCCGTGGTTTCCCCTGAGTGGAAGCTCAAGCGATCTTACCACTTTGATAGAATATAATGAATTTTTTTTTTCAGGAAATTATTGACACCCTACAAATTTTACAAAATATATTTTACTTACCACATGCAACTTTCGCGTTCGGATCTTGCTTCAAATGGGCGTCCAAAACTGCATCACTGATTTGATCACACATTTTGTCTGCGAAGAAAAAAAGGCAAATAATTAAAATACAATTCTGTTTACAAAAAACTAAATCTCATAATTCATTTACAATTTGTGTATTGATTGTTTGGTTTGAAGTTCAATGTTATTACATTTAAATAATCGCAAAAGATAAGCAAAAGGGTAACGTAACCATCATTTAAAATTTGGGATCAAAAGAGAAGCAAAGGTCTAGACTGAATCCTCATATAAACAAACAATGGTAAAACAGTAATTTTTTTAAAAATTCAATGCAAATGTGTTTGTTATGTTATGTATTCTCTTGAAATGCTAAATACATATTTTTGGAAAATAATAAAGGACTCAGACGTCGTAGAATGCGAAAATATAATGAGCAAAATATCGCGTTACGATTTTTGCAAAGCTGTGTAGTTTTGCGAAATGAACTACAAAAGTGAATATACTGTGTTTGCAATTTTGATCGGTTCGCACAGACGATTCGCACGTGCACAACTTGCTTGTGTTCATGGTTTGGTATTTCATCGGTTCTCGATGTTCATGTGTCGCTTTTTGTATGATCATGGGATCAAACGTGAAGAATCAGATTAACCAAAATAAAAACTGACGTTGATTTTGATAATATGATAAAACGATTCCTTTTGCTACTTCCACGAATTTTTTCGTGATCGTGCATATATTTTTTTTGCTTCAATTATTTACGACTGGTTTTTTGTCATGCATTGTCCACTTCTCGGAAGAAAATCATGAATTTTCAACCGACTAAAAAAATGATTGTGCTGATTAAATAATTATAAAGTCGTTCGATTAGTTTTAACGAAAGCACTCGAAAGATTAAAAATCTTACTTCGAATGGAAATAATATTAATTATTGTTTACAGAAATTTGTGCTATCTCTCGTTCAGTCTTACATTGCCAATCTAGAATTCTAAGATGATAATGATACTTGACATAAAAAGAAAGAATCTAGAAAATGTTGATTGATAGGTTCAAAATCCGCCCAGCATGCGCATAAAACTAGCAAATTATCGAACAAGAACGTTGTGAATTTTAGTGGTGTGTTACTGGGTGCGCAACAAAATAAAGATGATCAGTGATACCTGGCGATTGATATAGCCTTTGTTGCGGTCATTACATCTTGAATTATATGTGCTTTGGTCTAAAACCGGTTTATTGGTTTTATTTATTCTTTCATTGGAAACGGGCTTAGAACATAAGAAAAGAATTCGAAGGCAATAAACGAAAGTAATATTATAACGTTGTTTGGCTGGAGCCTGAACCGCTTCATTTGTTATGATATTCTAAACACATGTGCGTTCGCAAATGAATGCGGCTGTATTTTGTTTATATTCGCAGTATGATCTCAATGCTGTGTTTCTGTCGGTGAGTCGTCAACGGAGAATGACAATTAGCACGACGTTTATTTTTTTCTCTTCTCAATGCGAAAACATTCGAATGATTCTTTTATTGCATTTAATTGAGCAACAATTTTTCCTTTATTAATTTCTATCTGTTTGCCACTGAATTGCGTAAGTGTCTCAAATGATTGCTATTCACACACGTCAAGCTGAATTCCAGACGTGTAATATCGACAACAATTTTTTTATTATGTAAATACTTGATAAACATTCCAATATATATGTGTGTTCGAGACGCGCCAATCGAATATTACATCCAAGTGTAATAAATGCAAAGCAAAAGCATATTACTGTATGTACCGGTTAGCGGCCACTGTCAAACCATGTATATGCAAAAAAGAAAATACAAAACATGCCAAACAAATACGAATGGCTGAACTGTTGTATCTAAAGATAAATACTGGTATGTCTAGTCTCTAGTATGGGCACAACACACATCACCGTCGGCAATTTTCTTGGGAGCCACTACTATGGAAATTCATGGAATTCTTTTTCTATCTGTATCTATGTCGATGTCATGAGAAAATCTTGAAACAAGTGTTAATTTACTACCTGCTGGCTGTGACTACGATTTCGTTCATGTATGTCGCCAAAAAGATTTATGCCATAATCGGATTTGTGCCATTGTATACATATTGGTATGAACATCTGCTCCGTTTGCCAAACATGCGCATAAATTTTCACTTGGAAAAAAAAAGAATGAATTACACTTGAGCGTGTATACTAGGCTGCAAACGGAAAATTTTACGATTTCTAATAGTCAAAAGGCACTCAAAGAAATTATTACCGAAACATCAAAGGAGTGTCAACGAAACAATGAACAATGTCCTTTTTGATCTAAATTCGTTCGCTTTGTGACTATGCCAAGTCCACGTGGTAGATTTTTTTTACAATTATGGCATGTCGTCATCGATTATCGTGAAATATGACATGGAACGTAAAAATTCCCAGATAAAAATTGCGACGAAAACAATTTTTACGTTCGCTTTCAAAGTGGAGTTCATCATCACGAACTATTATGTGAATGTGTCACCACAACAATTATTATTCGTTTTTAGTGAGGGTTTTTCATTTTTATCAATACTCATTGACTTCAATGCTATTGTTTGCTAACAAATATGATAACATAATTGAATTAAAAATTGAGCGCGATCTTTACTCTTGGCAAAAAAAAAGAATATACAACTTAAAGCACTAACAAAAAAGTACACAAGCGGCTCTTACTGTCGATTTCGATTTCATTTTTAAGTAGATAGTATCACACACGTTGATTGTGTACAAATCATCTGACTTTAATTTGGGTTGTCAGCACCGCCATTCGTTTTTAACTCTATGCGATTAAGCTATGTTTTTTTTCCGTATGTGACATGACTCCCGTGTGTTTCATTGCATGCGTATTGGAATAGCACGCGCCAGATAGAATTCAAGTTGAAATATTTGAGCATATGGATCCAGACACGCGTATCAGACGCCATATTGGGAATGCGGTAATCTAGAATTTGTTGAGCACTTTGTCTTTGAGCACACATTTGTTTTACAGTGTCTTGACCATTCGCAAATCAATAAGATAATGAAAAATTACTTTTTCGCTTCACTGTTTCGGTTGTTGTTACCACATCGATTTATTACAGTTGGAAAATTTGGAAATCACCAATTATTGGTATATCACTTCACGTAGTTGACATGTAATAAAAAATGTTACCGTCGCCGCTTCAATTGGGTTACGGATTAAACACAATCGCATATTGACATTTTTCTTCGTGGCAAATATTCGTAATCACACACTGATATTCTGATTATTTTTTTTTAATCATAGCTAAGGGACATTAGAAACCATTGGAAGTGACAGCGTTTTCATCGTAAAATTTCGACTGTGTGTCAAAGAACAACATTTTAATAAATACGCATTACATTTACGCAACGAAAAAGTAATTCTAAATTTAGACAAGAGCATTTGAGATGCATAGAAAAGTACTCATGAATCACTGTGAATCACTTGAAAAAGATGGATTCAGTACTTAAAATGTTATTTTTGTACAGTTTTAAGGCCATCATTTTTTTTTCATTTGCATTCGTAACACAATGCATTGAACGTAACATTTTGTATACAAATCATCAAAGATTCTGGTTTCGGGGCATATTAAATTCCTTAATGTTGGATACCTACCGGGATGACCTTCACCAACTGATTCCGAAGTAAATAGAAAGATTTGCTGATCCTCCATTTCGTATAATCCACCTCCATTGGCGTTGCTGTGGCCATTAGTGTAACCATTTGTATGAGTTGATTGCGGCATTGTTTCTCTCTGTTTTCTTATTTTCGTTCAACTATCTCTGATGTGGGTCCGAATCCGAAAAAAAACTAATAAATTTTAAAAACAATAAATTAATAACGACACTCTTGTGTTTTCCGTTTTTCATTAAAAAAAATTCAAACATTCAATTGAATCTTCCTTTGCGAATTTTAATCGCTCTAACACACACTTCGAAATTGGTACATATATTTCGTTCTTTTTTTCGCTCTATTTTGCAAGGTTTTGAAATTCATAAAATGATTCATGAACACATTTAACTATGAACGAATTCGCTTGCGATTTTCTTCTTCTTTTTTTTTTATTGTCGAAGCACACAAAAGTGGATTCGCGCGGCTTTTATTCTATACACACAAATTCACTTTTTTATAATATTTTTTTTTTGTTAGATTCTATATTTCCTCAATCATTAACCAATTTCACAAGTATTTCAATTTATTACCAGATTTTACGTACTTTGAATTGCACTTTAAAATTTTCGTATTTTTTCAATGTGTCGTTTGAATTTTTGTTGTTGTTTGTCTTCTGATTGTGAATTAATCGAAAAAAAATGTGTTCGATTAATTTTTGGTTGTTTTTTTTTTGTGAGATAGGGAGAAATACTCATACAGCGATGTACGATTTGTGAGCCCTCGAGAATGTCGTCTGTATCACATCAACGTAAGTAAAGAGACAAACATAAATGGCGTGCACGATTTTATATAGACTCGGAATTGTACCGCTTCGTACGAACGAGAACCAATCGCAATTGTTTGTTGCTGTGTTAGTGCATGCGCTTCATTCGTTTCAATACTCTTTTTTCCGTATTGCTGTATGCCAATTGGTTGTGTAGTTGTGTTTTCTTGTGTTGCGGCACAATTGAAAAAACCATGTGCTTCACACAGTACGAATATACACATTTCGAACTGTCAGCACATTTGCGGTTCATTGTGTGCGTTTAATGACGTTAAACCGTATTCAAAGAAGCTCTTTTATTCTCTTCATTGTTTATGTGCATCATTTGAAAATGGAAATCTTTATGTTTGGTTTATTTTTTCTTGCATTTTAAACGGAATCAAGATTACAAATGTTTACTTTGAAATGATTTTATTTTAATTTTACACTTCTGCATTATTTTACTGGACGTTTTCATTTCGTTTAATCTTATTTCATTCAAAGAATGTTATTTTGGTCGCATATGAAAAAAATGATTTGTCCATTATCAGACAAGTATAATCGGTTTTACGTCAAAAAATTTTTGCCGAGAAATCGTTCCCTATTCTCATGTAAACAGTTTTTTCGTTGACAACAAATGGAAATATGTTTGTAACCAAAAATAAAAACATTTCTATCAGACAACAGACGCATAGAAAAATGTTTGACTTAGTAAAAATCATAATATTTTTGGCACAGGTCAAATTTTTTTGTATTCGAAAGGGCAAATTACTGTCTGATCTTCATTTCTTTGATAAAAATACAAAATTAAAAATAGAAATTGTATTAAAATGAAAATAATGTTGTATGAATTGAAAAGAGGTCACAGCATTTAAAACACACTCCGAATTGCCGGAAACTGATTTTGTCATTGTTTCAAAACAGTTGCTGAACCGATCGCTATAAAACCACTATCTATTCCAGCTGTGGCCTCCTTTGACAAAAGTTCGTCGATACTACTGACTCAGTAGTCTTTTCAATTGATTTCGCAATTAAATATTGAACACAGTTCCAAGGAAACTTGAAATCAATTATTGAACTTGATCCGTTCCCGATAAGATTTCAACGAAAAAACGTTGTGAAATTATTGCAATTAAAATTTAAAGAAGAAAAAAAATCGTGAAAAATGTGTGCGCCTCACGATGCTAACGCCAATATATTATACAAAAAAGAAACTACACAATTCACACGTGGCTACTCGGTTTGCATTCTTATCAAAAAGAAATAATTGTCGCAAAAAGAAGAACTTGCACATCACACTAATTCAACAACAAAAAAAATATGTAGAAAAAATTTCCATAACATCAGGGTGTACGAACCTTATTTTTTGTACTCAAAATGATCAAATTTACTAACTGGTTTTTTCTACTTTAATTTTAATTCAACTTTGAAGTTAAATATTCACGATCGAAAAAAGCCTCCTACTGCTTGAAATTTCACTTGAATAATGACAAGAAATCGATTCGATTGCTGCTTAATAAACATCCGTCGTAATGATTTGTTTCTTTCTTTCCTAATCGAGATAACCAGCTGATATTATTATTAGACAAATTGCACTGGACCTCTCACATGTTTCGTTCCGAGCGTGGCTCATGACTATGCATCTTTTTCTGTCGAATACAACATCTACGTCTATCTCGCTCTCTTTGTCATGTATTTCATTATAACGTTTTTCTTTTTCGTTCACATAACAACGAGTACATAAAAATATTTCATTTATTATTTAATTATTTTTGTTATTTCTATGGATCATCATGGATGTGAGAAAAGGAGCTTCTGAAAGGTGATGGCTGTTTTTTTTTTATTTACAATCATCAAAAGTTGATGATAATAAATAACCTGATTGAATGGCGAAAAAATACGCTTAATTTAAAAGAAAAAAAAAACATCGGATGTTAATCATTTATTACAATAAAATTATTGGCATCATATTTACACTGTTAAATGAATAAATGTGCCATAAATTCGATAAGAGTGGCCTGATACACAATGTAAGTGTATATAAAAATAAAAACGTACGAGATTTGGAATGATGGCTCGTGATTCGCGCGACAAATCATACCAGTGGTATGATACCAACGATTCGGACTAATCTAAAGCATTCACAATCGTCGTGTTGGTCAAATAGGTGGAAAATGACAGGCATTCTATTTAATGCAAATTTTAAACAATATATTGTACATTTATTCGAAAGAGGTTTTAAAATAAAAAAAGTCTTGAAACATTTCTCACCACATGAAAGATAATCCATACACACGTTCGCCACTTAAATTTCATATAAATGCTGATCCAAATGTTAATTGAGGGAAGTGTGCAAATAGTGTACAAAAAAGTGTCGTTGATATGGATATATCAACACGAACAGCACAATATGAATCATTGTTGAAATGCAAATGTCCATCTATAGTTTGATCGACACTCTTGAATTTGATGAAATAGATATGCAGAGCACAAAATTTGGGCTTAACTAACTGGTAGACATGAACTCGATACTTGAGAGAAAAGACGAACAATCTAGAGCTTACTAAGAACCATGTCTCTTAGGGAAAAAGCAACAATTGAATGTTTTTATTTAAATGAAATTACTAATTCTTATCCCATAATTGTTATGATTATTATTTTATTGAAATTATTTAATTATAATTTGCGCAATTCAATAAAATTGATTTGAAGAAAGCAAAAAATGAAAGTCACGTTTGCGTATTTCCCAATGCTTTGTTTATCAGCTTCGTTTTGATTCATTTGTTTGCTTTTTCCACAAATGTGATCATGATCAGGCTGAAAAAAATATATTTTTCAAAAATCGGAGTTTTGTTTTCGTTTTCACACCACAAACACGCAATTTTTGAAAAATAAGCCGTCATTTATTCCACACCGCTATTACAATCTACAATATTTGCCATATAGAAAAAATCGTATGATTTTTTTGAAATCAGTTATTTTTTTTAGTTTTTTTATATTTGTTTTTTGCTAAAAGTATCAAGCGCAAAAAAATGCGCGCCGAAATGAAATGAACTTGAAAACAAGCATGATTGCTTTGGAACGAAAGAAAGAAAGAAAAAGGAAATTGAAAGTTATCATCGCGCGTTTGTCACGTCATGCTCTTGCAAAAAAACTTCGACAATGAGTTTCAATTTTTCTCTTTTCAATTTTTTTGGTGTTTAATATTTTTTTACAAAAAATATATGCGCAAGAAAGAAAAGAGTGAAAAATGGTTATAATCAATATATTCGAATTTAAGGCGCAATTTTTTATTAAATATATTCATTGATTCGTTCAAAAACCAAGAACTCAATCAGTTCACTGCAACAAAAACTGTTTTACGTTTACACAGCAAAACAATTCAATTCGAATGCAATAGTAATCAAAAGTTTTGTTTTTCAAAACAATCATTATTCATTTAACAGTTATGCGGTGCAATTAAAACGTCAATTCAATCGATACGAATCAAGAACTCTGATCAGTAAACCGTGTGATTTTACTTATTTCTGAAAAGAAAATCACATTGTGAAAGACAAAAACTTCATTTATTCATTAATCACTACAGGAATGCACGTAAAAAATCGAGTTCTCTTCAATGGCTTGGAAGATATTATTGTGATGTATTTTGAATACACTAACTTAGAGTATATACTAACAAATGTCATGCGTTTTACACATCATGTAAAATGGTTGTTTCTATAAAGTTAAAATAAAAAATTTGCAAAAGCAGCGAAAAATTTTTGATTTTAAACTGCAGAAAAGCACATTCCTTTGAAATTTTGATTTTAACATTGAGTTTTGCGTTGACATTCATAAATTTTTGATGAATGTTTTAATTTTTTCGGATATTCTGTTTCTTATGCGCGATTTTTTGACATTTTGTGGTGATTTTTTCAACTTTTTTAGATGATGTTTGCTCTTTTTAGCCATTTTACAGGGGCTATCACAAGATTGTGGAAACGAAACCTTTGGTAAATAGTCACCACAAGTTGGAAAATTTGGTGGCGGTTTTACCATGTCTTCTTTTTCGCCTACTTTAATAATAGCCATCATGCCGGTATGCATATGGAATTCGAAGTGACAGTGCAATAGCCAATATCCCGCATTACATGATCTAAATCTCAATCGAACAAAACCTCCACTGGGAACGCTTATAACATCCTTAACCGGGGGTAGCTTCGAAGAGTCTGCGAAGGCTGTGCTACCACTTTTATATTGTTCCATGCTCCCCATATCCACCACTTGAAATCCATAACCATGCAGATGAATCGGATGGTGAATAGAGCCACCACGTCCTGAATTATTTGTTTGAAAGAATTAAATTTTAACAAATACGGTATGGTTATTATGCAATTCTTACTTCCACTGTCGTACAAGAAGAACTCATAGACTTCACACAGTTTAAGCGGAATTAAATGAATGCAGTTGCAAAGATCTTGACGATCACAGTTTGCTGGCAAATTTTTTGCATTACAATATTTAACATCGGAATCATCTTGGGTTAGCACTGAAATCGGCGGATGCATCATCGATATATTATTTATGGCAGAAATAACGGCAAAATCACCAATAGCTAAACACAAAGTAAAATCGATGGATGTAAAATAAAATTCATTATTTGTATATTGCATAGACATACTGAAGTAGTTCATTGACCTATCGGTACCAAGTACATTTCGGAATTCAAGTTTGAAACGTTTTTTTATTTCTTTATTTCTTAAATTTCCTCCAGTTGGGTATGGTATCTGTTTTTGTTGTAAAGCAGCCACGCAATAGCTGTTCGAATTTTGATCAGTGCAATCCGTATGCGGATGATTCAAGTACTGAAATGGAATAATGAAATGAATGCCGAGAAACATACTGTTTCTCAAACAAATTTTCGGGAAATCGGCTTTGAAATGAAATGAATTGACGTTCAAAAGATTACTACACTCATGGTTTTCTTTGGATGAACTCACAGATACTGTTGGATCATCTAGTGATTTATAGCTTGGTCTTGTAACCAATGGTGTCTGATCTTGAATTCGATGTTCAAAAGTATCTAAATTGTCTACGAAAATGATTCGAGCGAATTCTTGTAGCTTCAAATTTTCACAACCTCCCAAAGCACGTACTCGCATCAATTTCTCCACTAAAATGTTTTCTTTCCAATAAGTAATTTTTTTATGGCAAAAATGCACGAAACTCAAACTCACTTGTTTGTAGGTCGCTTCTTGCATCCATAACAAAATCGTAGCGTTCTCCCGGTGCGCTAACTATACGATCGACTGTTACTGGAATAATAGAATAGCTGTCTGTTGCAGTCACTTTTAGTCGATGTTCTTCAATCTACAATGATCATTTTAAATCAACCAAATTAAATTTTTGTAAGCCAAAGTAAATAATACAAACACTAAATTCCATTGGACAATTATGTGAACCAGTATTGACAAGACGGAATAGATGTCGTTTGCCTCTTTCAACATAAAATACTGCCATTGGTGCAAAAGTGAAATTTCCAAATGGAACATTGTTGAAACTTCCACAACCGTTAATCAGAATACTATCAGGACGTAATGGTTGATTCTTGTGCCCTGGTATAAATTCTTCTGACAAGAAGTTATTCCAATCACTCAATACGATTGAGTGCTCTGCTCTATCGTAATCGTAATATTTTGCATTTGGATCATTTTCTTGGCGAACTGTAAATGATCCAAAAATGCCGTTACCTCTCTGCACTCCAGAATGTGAGTGATACCAAAAAGAACCAGGTTGTGGAACATTAAAATCATAGCGAAATGTGTTTCCCGATAGGATCGGACACTGTGTTACCATTGCCACACCGTCCATAAACGGTGTTTCCTCTTGTAAAATTCCATGCCAATGAATGACAGTTTCACTACCTGGTTTTTTCGTTCAAATACATTTTATTATTGATATAGATTTATTGGAATTGGAATGGAACAAAATTATTTTTACCAGGTAACTCATTCATAACATCGATAATGACACGATCACCTTTGCAAACATTAATTGGCATTCCAGGCAATCTACGATTCACTGTCATTATATTACGTTGAACGCCGTTTGCCGGTATGCAACCGATATTGAAGCAATCATCGATATTTTGATGCACACAGTTGCGACATAATCTGTGAAATGGATTTTTGGATTATTTAGAAAATCATTGGAGAAAAATGCGGTAGGGAATTCAACATACCCTGACATTGTGTCATAGGTGTCCACCATAAATTCGTAATAGCAAATCTTTGGTTTGTCATCAGAACAGTCACGGTAGCAGCTTTTGCCATCGTTGAATGTTGTTCCGTCTTGATGGGAATATTTTTAATTTAATTAAATCGCTTTTTATATTTGTCTTTTTTTTATACCCTGTCCGAATCTTTTCATTAAGTCCACTCTAGATAAATGTATTTTTCCAGATTTACAGTTATTTCCACACTTGCAATTAGTTCCACGTCCACAGCTTACCATCAGTGAGATTAAACAGAGAAACACGATTACGATCGATTGTTTTGTATTGAATTGTGGTACCATTTTTAATATCATATTGGATCACAATAACGCCCAAACACTTAGTGAATTTCAAAGAATCAATGTCAAAATTACACTCAAACTGAATTTCTTTGAAGTCATACATTTAACTTTATATTAAAATGGTCAGAAGCACTTTGATTTAAGCATTTTTACATGACAGAATCTCTGGGAACTAGTAACACAAATCATCAACGGCCAAAAGTGGACGCATTTAAATACTCTACTGAACGTGAGGTGAATTCACAAACAAATAAATAAATCAAATAAATAAAGCGGGACACAGGTGTTTAAAGCTGATAAGAAAATAGCCAATGTAGATCAAGCGATGTTTTATTTTTGCACAAAGTAAACAAATACATTCGACTAATCGGTTTCATTTAAAGCATTGATTGACTCTAATTTTTTAAGGTAAATTTACCTGAATTGATTCTGATTTAAGATCAGTTGCGGGTGGACACAAGTTAGAAAACTAAAAAAAACTAAGATAAATTATACCTTAGGCAAACTCAGCCATAGACTAGTGGTTAGCGTGCCAGGTTTGTGAGCGTGAGGACACGAGTTCGATTCTCGGTCAAATTTGGTCCGGTATTTTTCCACCGTGATTCGCTCAGGAATTATCAGTGGTTTTATGCGGAATAGATTTGGCCGGGTTTCGGGCTAGTGGAGTGCTTCGGAGGGCACTTAAAGCCGTCGGTCCCGTGTGTGTGCACAAAGAATAATGGGTTCAGCATAGACACACGTAAAATGGAGTGCCTTTACGTTAGGTTGGTGTCTTGGATATGTCAAATATCCAATACGTCAACCGTAAAAAGGTAGTGCGACATCTCTGGTGAATATACCGGTAAACCAGCGATATGTGCATTCCTCCATTGAAATAAGAAGAGCCCAACGCCATCTAGGAATGAATGGAATACTTGTGACTGTCACGACAATTGACTTGAGAAGAAAGCCCTGGTCACTGACCCTGTACGGAGGCTAGTTACATGGCTGCTATAAAGTGGGCCACACCGTGGGAAGCATTCTCCAAGCAATCGAGTGACAGCACAAGTCGGGTCGTCATGCAATAAGTTACGAAACTTGAGCATCGAAGTGAATAACTCCCCGTTTAATCCAATAATCCAATAATCCAATACCTTAGGTCTTATCAAATATACAGGTTATATACTAAAAAAATAAGAAAATTTAGCAATATTAGAGCTCGTGTCTTCCCCTAGTATGCACCTCATTAGAAAATAATTTTATTATTGAAGTAGTAAGCGCCATTTGCATAGCAATTTTCATATATTGTACATATAACCGTTAATAACAATTAAGTTTATCTGAGAATAAATTGAGCTTAAGACTTAAATGAAACAGCGAAAAAATTCTAATGCTGTATTTGAGTGACAGCTGGTAACTAGTTAAAACATAAGACGTTCCCATATTTTATTAACGCATTTAATCATATTTTCTCAGTCTTAATTCAAAATACATATTTTATTTGGCATTTTGGATATAAATCTTTAGAAATCAATAACTCAATTTAAAACCTGAATCATCACGCGCGCCAAAATTCAAATTCTCAAAACAATTGTTTAAAACTCTAATGACATTGAACGCATCCATTATATATACATTCGTCTGACACTATATACATTCATGCACAGAGTTAAGAACGTCATGTGTTTGACATTTCATGTGACGATTGTTATTTTTTATATGATGCTGAAGTAATTTTTTTTTTCACATACGTATGACTGCGGAAAAATGACAAAGTTTACGTGTGTAATTTGAATTTGCAGAAAAGCACACGCATCGATTTTTTTTATTTGATTTTAACGTAGAGATGGTACTAAGCGGCAGTGTTTATATGAGTTGTCATCGTATTTAAACAGTTTGGGTGAGAGAATTACGGTGAAAAAGTGTTATTGATTGAAACATATGTTAAAAATCAAACGTCATGACGAATACACGGAAATCATCACGATCCAGGGCCATTTTTATGTCACAACTATTCTTATCAATAATATTGGTAATTTGTACGAGTTGCCTTATAGATAGTGTCCAATGCGATGCGGCTTCAGGCCAAATATCATCGTCTGCTATTCCAAGCACGATTGCAACAAATTTAACGTCGCCAACTCAGGGCACAAGTACTACAAGCAACGTTACCAGCAGTACACCGAAATTGAATCAAAGTGTAAGCACTCCGAATGACAATAATCATTTGGTTAAACCATCGTCATCAGTTGCCCCAGAGATTTCGTCAGATGGCGATAATAAAGAATCGGATGCCAATAATACCGTTAGCAAAACAGATGAATCGAAAGCCGTGGAGCAAGAGCACAATAATTCAATGGCCATATTTTTTGTGTTATGTATCATTGCATTGGGAATACTTCTGATTCATACAATGCTTGAGACAGGCTTTCAATACTTGCCAGAGAGTATTGTAGTCGTGTTTTTGGGCGCACTCATTGGGCTTTTAATAAATTTACTGTCAGATCAAAGTCCAAATTGGAAACGTGAACAAGTTTTTTCACCGACCGCATTCTTTTTGGTACTTTTGCCACCAATCATCTTTGAAAGTGGATACAATTTACATAAAGGAAACTTTTTTCAAAACATTGGATCGATTCTAGCTTTTGCTATTGTTGGCACCACTATATCGGTATGTTTTACTTTTCCACCTATTGTTTTTCCATTATTTTCATATTTATTTTGATTGGGAAAATTCTTTCTTCAGGCATTCACAATCGGAGCAGGAATTTACATTTTGGGTATGGCTGATGTTGCCTATCGATGTAAGTTTTTTTCAAAGCTTTTTTTTACTTCGATGGACAAAATCACATATTTTGGTTTATTTTTGTAGTAAATTTTGTGGAAAGTTTTGCATTTGGCTCCCTAATTTCTGCGGTCGATCCAGTTGCAACTGTAGCCATATTTCATGCCATCGACGTTGATCCTGTTTTAAACATGTTGGTGTTTGGCGAAAGTATTTTAAACGGTAAGTTTTCCTCTTTTGATTTCAAAATTTCGCAGTTTGCTCTTAGAACATGAACATTTTCCGTTTTCAGATGCCATTGCTATTGTTTTAACAACAACGGTTTCTCGTATCCCTGACTCGGATTTTTCGGAAGCAATTTGGTCTGGATTTAAAACATTTTTAACAATGTTCTTTGCATCGGCCGGCATTGGAGTTGTATTTGCGTTGATTAGTGCGCTTCTTTTGAAGCATATTGATTTGCGAAAGCATCCATCCTTGGAATTCGGTCTGATGTTGGTATTCACATATGCACCGTACGTACTTGCCGAAGGTATACATTTGTCAGGCATAATGGCGATTTTATTCTGCGGCATTGTAATGAGCCATTACACTCATTTCAACTTGTCAACAGTGACTCAAATAACCATGCAGCAAACTATGCGAACATTGTCATTCATTGCAGAAACATGTGTTTTTGCTTATTTGGGTTTGGCAATATTTTCGTTTGAGCATCGCTGTGAATTGGCTCTCGTCATATGGGCAATCATTTTGTGTTTAATTGGACGTGCATGTAATATATTCCCACTGGCGTATATGGTGAACAAATTCCGTGAGCACAAAATCACCAATAAAATGCAATTTGTAATGTGGTTTTCGGGGCTGCGAGGTGCCATTTCCTATGCACTATCATTGCATGTAGAATTTGCCAGAGAAGAATCCCGTCGAGTGATGATTACAACCACACTAATTATTGTCTTGTTTACGACTCTTGTTTTTGGTGGATCGACAATGCCGTTGTTGCGATATTTGCAGCCGGGTAAAAAATCAAATAAACGTTTGCGAAAACATTCGGGAAGAGGACGAAAAAGTTCAATATCGTTAAGTAAAACACGTGAATGGGGTCATGCAATTGATAGTGAACATTTGTCAGAGTTCACGGAAGACGACGAAGTTGGTGTTACAGTAAGACTTGGTGGTTTCGCTCTATGGGACACAAAATATTTAAAGCCATTCTTTACAAGACGATTTACAACACAAGAGCTACACGATTGCAAGAGTCAAATGACCGATTTAACCAATAAATGGTATCAGGCGATTAGAGTGTCGCCCGATCACAGCGATGAAGAGGATCTAGGAACTGCATCAACGCTACCGATGGCATCGCGGATGGCATCACCAGGCACATCAAACAGTACAAGCATTCAAAGCTTTACAACAAACGCATAGACACAATAAATATACTTATGAATTTAGACGTAATTTTTACACCAACAACTCAGTGCAAACACAACGCCTTCAGTTCGGATAACGAGATAGAGTAGTTGAATGTAAATTTGAGAACATTAGCACAAAATGATAATAAGAACCAATTCGAATGCTATAAGAATGTTTCATGTGCTGTGAGGTGCTATAAAGATGCGACACATTTTTAGTATTGAATATCTTTTCTTCGATGTTTTGCTTAAACGTACAGTTTTAAAATTAATTTATTTAAAATGTAAGCATGCGATATATTCAATATTTATTTGAAGCGAGTAGATAGTTTTTCGACAGTAGATATTGCACAGAAAAAAAGGTTCGTCACCTGAAAAGACGCCGGTCGCAAGTATTAAATAGTCCAAAGATTTAAGTCGAAAAGGTCAAAAGTGAAGGTGAAAACTTGAAGTGATTTTTACACATTTTGAGATTACTTATGTCTCAAAACAAAACAAAAAAGATCCACGTGTTTGACATGTATAATTTATTTTTATTTTGGTGTGACTTAGTTACCAACGTTTTTTTTCAATGGCTGTTGGTTTTCATTTGTGATATGATATGATCAGCATCAAGTCGAGTTACATTGTTTTTTTTTTTTGCCCAAATGTAAAAAGAAAATTCTATTTGGTTTTTGGTTTGAATAAAATAGTAAATAAAATTGACCTTGAATTTGTGATTTTGATTGCCACGCATAAACATTTTACAGCAAATTTCAGCGCGATCTGGTGAAAATTGCACGAAGTTTGAAGTTTCTCAACTGATTACACATATGCTATATTGGATGGCATTTATGTGAGCAAGCACTTTTTGGTTGCAATTTATGTTATTGATGAAGGAAATAGTGCATTCACCCTGAATGATAATGAGGAACGAAATAACCGATAAATGTCAAGCGAATTTTACTTGAGCCAATTATTTATTGGCCATTTTTTTGGTGTGCGCTGAATACTCAATGCTAAGACATTTATTATCTTATAGCCTAGGGATTCCATCTTGTCATCCACATTCTTCCAATCCAAATATGAAAGTAATTGATGTATCCAACAATGACCTCAGGCGATAACGAAAATTCGTAATTGTGATCGACAAAAGAATCACAAACGAATTATACATCTCACCGCTGAAAGAAGTACTTGCGGTATTGAATATGGATGTATAACAATTATTTTAGCTACCTCAGGAGAAATAACCGCTGAACGAACAAAACAAATTGCAATAAAAAGTATTGAAATGCCAATGAGCAACCAAACGTTAATTGTGAAATGCCCATCATTTATTTCCCTTTCAATGAAAGTGAAAGCACCCAATACTAGTAGCACCAGAGTAAATATCACGTATTATTTTTTATCTGTGTCGTGCAAGTAATGTGTATTAAAGTTTTTGATTGTTTTGTTTTGTATCGGATTTTCAATGAACATTGTACGTTTAGCATCGCCACATAAATTATAATGATTATAACTTTATTTGCATACTTTTGCTCTTGTTGGCTTTCGTTGAATTTTTTTTTTGTGTGCTTAATTGCTCACGATCAATTTTCGTAGTTACATCAATCTTATAATTGAAATTTCTTTTTGTGGATATCATTTTCAAAATCAACATAAATCACAAAAAACGCATGCATTGTTTCAATTATCGCTGATGATGAAACTACATATTATGAAATTCAATGACATCAACAAACAATGCGAAGAGAAGAATGGAACAATGTACCGATTAAAAGTGAAGAAAACAAAATGATCAAAACTTTAATCACGTCGATTCAAGCAATCAAGCGAAATTAAAAATATCAATCCATTTCAATTTATGCAATCTGTGCATGCTTCACATGCATAGTCGCACCCATACACACTACACAGTAAATGTTTCATTCGGCAGCGGAAGAATTTTCAATTAAGAAAATACATGCATTTTTACATATTATTTCGAGTTTTTTTTAATACCTCTGTAGATGAACTTCCTCGTATGAGATGGTGCTCAGATTGTACTTACAAGAAGCTGAGATACTTTGATGAACACGTTTTGCCATAACTTCAATTTATTGTTCAACATTTGAAGTGAGCGCTATTGAACGAAATAGTTTTTTTTCGTGTTCCGATGCAAGAAAAGTATTGATGTTCATGGTTGCTCTAAATATAAATAACCTTATAAAAGTAAAAAAGCACACATTTTTTTGGTAACAAAATTAAATTTTTTTAATATATATTTACATTTCTTGCATAACAAATTTTGTTTAAAACATAAATGCCTAGGTAAAGAAGATAGACAGAAATGGGAAACGACGTAAAATTAGTAGTAAATTGTGGACACAATTTGGCACCATGGTGGAAGAATGCAGATTAAATGTCCATTTAAAAGAAAAAATTCCATTGAATTATTATCTCGATCATTGAGAAAAAGATAGATCACATAAAATTGCGCGACATTTTGAGGTTTCTTTTTTTTTGTTGGGAATATCATCGTTCAATTTAGTTACGTCCAACGCTGTCGATTTGTCGTTGAAGATTTTGAACGACTTCAGATGGGAACTCCGAGCCCAAAATAGCATATAAGTCCACACGTTGATTGCCAGGAATGTTTTCCAATTCATTTAATGGAATCGATGATTCAACCTATTTGCAAAAAATCAATTTTTAAAATAGCTTTCACACAAAAATTAAATGCCAATTTCTATTATGTAAAATTAGTTACGCACTTTTTGGATTTGTGCATTTTGTGGGATTAAATGTGAGCTTTGTGCTTGCCGAATGGCTTCGTTGGTGTAGGCTGCACCTTCCTGAGCTGGAAATGCGACGGCAACGGCAATGATAGCAACGAAACAAATGATGGCTTTCATTTTGACCTAAAGCAAAAAAATATGTTTGTTTTTTTATAAATGAATAGCGTAACTATTGAAATGGCACTTCATTAAAAACACATAAATAACAATTAATTTCGTAGTTTTTCTTTGGCTATTTCATAATAACAAGCAGAAAAAAACAACATCGACAATCAACGAATTGACCACAACATCATTATGCATTGCAAATTTAATATGCATATTTCGTAACCAATATTTTTTTGCCGTTTCGATCATACATTTTGATGCAATCTGTATGCCATCCATTGGCAATGATATCGCATTTTAATGGTATTGGCAGATATTTGTGGTGTTTGTATTTCATTTGCACATCGTGTGCACAAAGATTGCACTCCGTCTATGATACATTGCACTAAGCCTAAACGCGTTTAAAACTGTTGTTATTCTTTTCAAAATCGATGGTTAGAAAGTTGTCGCGTCGACTTTTTATTTTTAATCCGAATTTATTCGACGGTGAAAGTCCATATATTATCTAAAATGGCACACGTATGCTTGAGTTTATTCCCTATTCTTTGAATTTATTATACTTGTTAATTTTGTTTTCGACAAGCAAATACTACTTCATTCTTTATTATTTGTGTAATCCACAAACACACAGTTTATTTAAAAAGAAAACTTTCTTGAAGGGAACCCACCTTTTAACTTTCTCACTACTTTGATCTGTAATACGTTCACTAGAAGAATGGTGAAGCCGGCCAAAACAACTCTGGTTTTATAGCTATAGCTTACGATCCCCTCTCGATTGTTTCAATTCACGATTACGTATAGCAAGCAGCGTATACATTTTTTTTCTTCTCTTGCAGAGCTCTGTCGCAAAAACCCACTTAATGGTCAAATCAAATTCGTTAGCTGTGGATACAAAATGACAAAGAAAGAAAGCAATTGGAAATCAGACATTCTGCCAAATGAGAGCAGATTGATCTAAAAACCCATATTTAGTGAAATTTGTTGATATTTATGTTTACGCACTTAATAATCCATCAAACATTCACTGTGATTTTATCCGAAGATAGCTGGCCAGTTTGAAACCAATTTGTATATGCCCAACGAACTATTCCAGTTCTTTGAATTTCTAATTAAGTCGAACTTGATCAAATGAAATATTTGAAGATGAAAAAAATGGAGAGTAACGCAGCAAAGGTGATATTCACAGCACGAAGCGATTCAAAAAGGTAATCAAAATTTAGGATAAGTGATGCAATCATCTATTTTTTACCCATCGAAAATATTCAAAATAGCTTCCAAGAATAAGAAACGGTTAAAATAAAACACAATATACACTAAACGATTTCATGTCCATTTTCAATGTCTTTATTTTAGATATTACAATATTCATTTTTATCATACATACTTGATTTATAGCACATGTGACATGTCAATAAATAAAAATTCTATTTAAACTTAATTGTTTGTTATTTCTCCTTTTGTTGTTGTTACTGTACTTTTACTAATTTTTCCAAAAAATCCAATATTCATTTTTCTTGGTTTTAATTTTTGTCCTCTTTCTAAAATGTATCTCTAAATGTGTCAAAATTTAGAATGTGCGAAATTATTATTCAGTTAATTAAACGCTAAATGAATTAATTTCGGTGTTATTTGAAAAACGAAATGCATATGAATGAAAAGAAAAAAAACTATATCACATAAAACAAATTATTGTGTTATCTAAACCGAAATGGGAAATGGAAAATGAAGGGGAGAAAGAGAAACTAAAGGAAATTCAAATTATAGTTTTCGTAATGCTAAAAATAATGTAGGAAATGGAAGTTGAATTGAAACGCACGAAACATTATCTCCTCTCAAACCAAAATAACGTAAGTTATCATAGAAATTCGTTCCGTTCGAAGCCAAAATGCAAATTCGTAGTGCGTCTTATTTCTGACTTGCACCGCACAACGACCTTAACAATTAAATTTTCATTTTTTTTTTTTCAATTCGCGACTTAAGGGGAAGGAGGAAACACACACTTAATTGCACATTTTATTGATATAATTTACTCGCAATAATATCTCTATCTCGTCCAATTACGAACATCGTAATCATGATACACGACTAAATATCTAAAGATCTAGACACAAAAAAACTATTTCCATACTGTTTTCCTATTCAAAAAAAATTCACTAGATTAAAATTGCTAATATTAAAATTAAATTTAAAAAAAGTCTTGTGGCACGACTCTTATTCATTTGATACACAATTTGTGCAAAATAAATACGTTACACATTGTTTTTATTTCTGTTCCTTTTTTGCTTCTTTTGCTTCGGCGAATAATGTGTTTTATTCACTAGCTTCTTACGTGCTGCATCTAAAGTCATTTCTAAACTGCTAAAAAATTCAGCCTATATATTTCTTCGTGTGTTCTTCGAACGCAGTTGAGAACATTCATCATTCATCAAAAACAAATGTCATTTAATTGTAAAAAAAGAGCATTCAAGTTTCATTCACGGGTGGCTTTTATTCTAGAAAATAAACCACAAAAACGTTATTTTCGTGCTGACCAGCCGTTTTTCTCTATAAATCGCCAATAATTCTGGAATGATTTTGGAATAAACGATGGCTCTTCCAGAGAGGAATATTGCTCATTTGTATTCTCATCACTGCTGCTGCTATTCAATTTGATGCTTTCAGCATCGTCTTTTGGCGATGTGCCAGTTGAATTATCAAATTCGGATTTGGCGGAAGAGGCAGCTGAACCTTCTTCACTATCAAAATTGGCATAGCCTTTTGTTGTCGGTCGTTCGGTTGTTGGCTCTTTATTACCGTATTTCTCTTCCGAATCCACAACATTCGGAAGTGTTTCGATATTTGTCAATGCTTCACTTTTATTTACTTTTGTTCCGGCCACCGGTAGCTTATCGAATATGGTTGTTTTACTGATATCATTCGCACCGGTGATCATATCATTTGGACCAAGTGTTGTGCTTTCTTCCATTTTCTCGGTTGTGGTTGTGGTGCGTTCCCATTCTGGTATTAAATGTGGTTCGCCCGGTGCACGTGATTCAACGTTATCGATTTTATGTGATAATTTGATGTTTTCAAGTGATGGACCCCGTGTACTTAGCTCCACACTTTTCAATGCATCAGCATCACATTCTTGACACGGACCGGAGGTTGATGATGAAATATTCTCTTCGGCCTTATTTGGTAAACGGCGTTTTTCCTCTTCGTCATCTTTATGCGTTAAACTCAAATCATCCGGGATTGGAGGATATTCGGGGTTCTCAAGGATGCTTTCTTCATCTTCGTATGAAAAACGACTAGTTGATCCGGAGAATGATTCAGTTGTTGTGCTTTTTGGTGTACTCAATGGCTCAGCGGTCACCGGAGCCAATGTTGTTGACGTAAAGTTTGGTTCGGACGAACTATTTGCATCCAAATTATCTGTTGTCGATGATGAAGCATCAAATGGACCCTCAGTTGTTGAATAGAAAACAGTATCAATTGCCTCTTCACTACTTGGTGATACGGTTGATTTTTCTTCCGGATAATAAACAGTTCCATAAACATGTTCTGCACTTGATAAAATTTCAGATGAATTTTCTACGCCTTGCGTCGATGATTCTATCGAATTATTTGGTTCTGTGCTGCTTTCACTTGAATTCAATGTATTTTCAAGATTTTTATTAATTTTCCACGAAACCGTATCGTTATCGTCAAACAATTCAGGTGTACCAGTGGTTGTTGATGAACCATCCATAACCAATTCTTCACTTGATTTACCCTCATTGCTATCAACAGTTAGATTAAACTCATCATTTGTCAGTTTAATGGCTGAATCTCCGATCTCTTGACTATTTTCTGTCGTTGAACTTATGACATCTAATTCTTCAACGCGTTGCAATTCATCTACGCCAGATATGTGGAATGATTCCGTTTTGCCGCCATGTCGAACAACAACTAAATTTTTTGGTGTCGAAGAAACTAAATCGATTTCTTCGCCACCGTTGTTTTCTGTACTTGGTGATTCGCTAAATGTACTTGTACTTGACTGAAATGGATTATCGGTTGTGGTTGAGCTGAAAAACTCAGAACTACTTTCGGAAGACTGGTCGATTCCATCGTTTGTACTATTTTCTGTCGTTTGTCGTACACTTTTATTGCCCACATCATCACCAATGGTATTTGAATCGGCGCTCACCAAAAGCAGTTGAGGCTCCACTTCACCTTTGGCTGAAGCTTTTGTTGGTGGAGCATCCGACGATGATAAACGATCGTCGCCCAACACACCGTCATCCATATAATCACGACTTTCGTGCTCTCCACTTGATTGGTTTGTGTCTACGGTAGACGATTCATAGCTATCTCTTGGCAACTCCGTGCTTATGCTGCTAATTGTGGACGTTGACGACGTTTCTGTTGTTGATAAAAACTTTGTTATTGCCTCTACAGTACTTTCTGCTGTTGTCGGTATAGATGCTGTTGTGGTGGTGGTTGTCGTAGATTTGAATGGATTATACGGTTTTGGTTTATCATCTGTTATTCTAATCTCTTCGGGTTTTGTGATTTCTTTGATTTTAATGCCAAGTGGATTGTCATTGGCCAGTTGCAGCATTGGATTTTTCTCCACAATTGTACTGCTTCCGGCCGTTGTCGTTGTCAACGAAATGATTAAATCATTCTTTGTTGTTTTTGATTCAGCTTCTTTAGTGGCTGCGATTTTCGCATCGTCTGATAATAAATCGAAATATAAACATGAGATAAATTAAACGAGAAAGTTTTTTGAATAGCAATCAATAAAGTTCAAAAGATAGAGAAACAAAAGAAATAACAAATAAAAACGTACCTATCGGAGGACAATTGTCGAATGTTGGACAACAAACACCCTTTACGTATCTTGGCTTGCAGTCATCACGAATGTAACATGAAACATCGTTGCAAGTCACTTCGCCACCTATAAAAACACAATCAATAAATTAATGATAATATAATAATTGAGTTAATTAAAGTGTTAAAAGCTGACCTTTACATAGACATCTGAAGCATGGATTGTGGCTTACAATTTTCTCTCCATTCTCATACGTTCGATCTTCATGATTACATGCTGGCAACAAATTGAAAAATGAATATCATAATAATTAATCAATTAGTTCAAGTTTGTAAGCAAAGGGAAATGCATTGTTGTTAATGAACTTGGAAATTATGAGAAAAAGGTGAAGTGAGTAAACATAATGGGAAAAAAGAAAAGGAAACAAAAAATGAAGATGCGTTGAAAGAGGTGTTACAAGTAACGAAAGAAAAGAGAAAAGATGAAAAAAAGAAGAAAATGAAACTTACAACACTGATAATCCGGACAGCATTCGCCTGTCTTCTGAATGAGCTTGCATCCAGTTTTGATTTCGCATGTTACGGATGATTTCTGAACCTCGACCCCGTCATGAAAGCATGTTTCTGTACAAATAACAAAAAAAAAATATCGACCTTGAATTTCAGAGAGATGCATTCAATATAATCGTCGAAAGATTGTCAACTCACCATTTGAAATTGTATTGCTATTAGTTGCATCAAATGAAAATGTTTCACGAACCATGCGTCTTGATCGAACGGGCACTGTGTGAATGAAAAACAGAAAAAAGAAGAAATGTTAAACACGATGTAAGAAGAGATAATTAGCAACAAAACGAGCTATTTTATACGGTATAGTGCAAACATACGGTGAGTGATTTACGTTAAAAAGATGAATTAGCGTAAAAATATGTAATGAATAAATTTTGTAATTAGGTAAGGCAATGAACTAGATTGACCCAATTAAATTATACGGTTTATACACTTAAACGATATGAATCATTCGCAATTAAAACATAGAAAACTATATTGTTTGTTAGTTTGTTTCAACAACAACACTTGGTTATCACGCGCATATTCATTTCATGAAAATATGTTACAAAAGTATCGAGCTTCATGGAAAAAATGGTGTCAGTTATCAGGTTTTTTTCAGCGGCGCTGTTGATTGATATAAGGTGAAAAATGGCCTGTTAAACTGTCTGATTGAAAACTTTTTTTCTGAATGAAATTAATTTGAAAAATCATCGTTTACATTAGCACCATTATCAGACCTTTATTATTTATGGATGAGCGAGTTTTTTTTTCGATAAATGTTTTTGTGCTGTCGCAACTGCAGACACGAATGTATCAATAGAAAATTCAAAAAATCAATCGGAATATTAACCATTATGCCAATAACTGAAAAAATGCTGAATAGAAAAATATATTCGACGAAAAACCCCTTCAATGCACCAAAAAAAAAGGGATATACCTTTACCTCAATTGTTCAGCGCTGATTTTCAATTTCAACGAAAGAATTCGATTTGAATTTTTTTTTCTTCGTGAAATGATCCTTCTACGTTCGTCGTAAATCGACAATGTATCCAAAAGTTTAAAAATGATTTGCATTTTTTGTTCGTTCATTTGCCGTATTTCCAATATCTGAAATGATTGCCAGTTTTTACGCGTAAAATCATCGATTTGCAAATGAGCAACCATCAAAAATACAGGTAAGTGCTTTTTACTTTTAGCTGTGAAAAATTTCTTTAAGCATTCTTAAAACTTATCGAGCACTTATGCACATTTTCATTTTGACTGCAGTCAGGTAATGTGTGCGAACAAAAAAAAAACTTACTGAATGAGAGAATTCCCATATGATGCGAGGAAAAGGATCGAGATTGACGTGCAATTTTATTGAGAAAAATGCGAAAAGTAGTTTTATCTGAAGTGAAGTTCTCTTTTGTGCCAATCGAATGAACATGTAATAAATCAACAAACTATCTCACACATCCCGGGAAAAATGCATGACATTCGAATTTTCAACTCCAACGAGATGATTTTCGCTTTGTTGCAATGGCGTTTGTTTTGTTTTCTGTTATCTCACATGCATGATGAGCGCTAGAGGAAATACAAAATTGCCACATGCACTGCATGTCATGGCACCACAAATATGCGCATATACATAGACATTGATTACATCGGCATCGTAACAGTGTTAAGAGTTTTCAATCATCGGTTGATCGCATCATGTTTAGTGGATTTGTATCATCAAATTATGGGAAACTAATTGAATATTCATAAGTGAATACATCATTTTCAATTGTACAACACCAGCTCGTGTATGCGCATTTGTTCTAGTTTTCATTTTCCGCCCTCACAAAAATACCACAAAATATTCGCAATCAAACCAATGGGAACAAAGCACAGCGTACAATGACGATGAACCATTCGCAATGAATTGAAATGTATAAACAAAATCGAATTCGGTTGCAGTGGATGACAATAAAAAAAAGAGCAACCCGCATAGTGGAGCACATTTTCGGTCAACATTTTGAATGATGAATATTACAAAGACTTTTTCTAACTATATATTTTTTTAAACTTTTGAGTCTTATCGAGTACAGCGGTTCCGGTAAGAAATCCATTAGTCATATTGATGCGATACAATTTCCATTTAAAATCAATCCGATCTGTGTGTTTTCAATCACTCTTTTGATTTATAAAATTCCCCTTTTTGTACGATTTTATTTGTTTTCATTTACTTGTGACATTTTTTAATGAATCAATAAATCAGCAGTAACAACAGTAGTAGTTCATGTACAATTTTAAAATGTAAATAAATCTGAATCGAATGCAATTGCAAGCAGTGTGGTTCTAATGCCAAGGACTAATCCTGTATTGTGGCAAATAATGCATTCTCACACATGCTGAATTGAACAAGCACTTCGGATAAGCAGTAAGCATATTCAATGCACATTGTTCAAGACAAAAAAAAATTGTAAGTATCGAATTAAATCAGAGCTACAAAATTGTAGCTTATCTTTGGGTTTTCCCCACCGTTTGGAATCGTCGTACAAAATGGAACAATTACCCAGCGAAACAATGTAAAATTGTTTTAAGTATATGAATATCGAGAGGTTTTTTTTAATTCAGACTTTTGTCGAGGTAAATGCAGTTTGTGAGTGCGCTTTAAAGTGTGTCGAATTTATTGTTAAACATGCTGAACTGCTTCTCATCACTATTTTCATTGAGTGTAAGCGAATAAAGATCAACGATACCGGCCTCAAACATTTATGCTTATGTAATTTTTAAATCAAGATTTCAATCTTCTTGTTTGCACTCGAAAATTGGCTGTTAATTCAAAATCAACCATTCAAAATCTTCCCATTGAAATAATTTCTGAATTAAATTGTGATAAATTTGATTTAAGAACATGATTCATTTCTTTTATTCAAAAATAATTCAAAGTCTTTAAATCGGCATTCATTTCGAGGTGCAAAAAAACATTAAAAAAAAAACAATCGAATAAGACGTAATTGCAAACAATCATCAAATTCGTGGCATTTCTGAAACAATTAATATGATCAATAGATCGCAGCTGTTGATTTGATGTTGACAGAAAAAAAAGTGCTCCATGTCTGAGTTTGAATAAAATTAGCGATGAAAATATCACATTGACGTCGATTTGAAATTCTAGACCAAGGTATTGGGTTTTGTATCAATTGTCTGAGAATAGAAAAACCGCATTCTTGTGTCGTCTCTCACACATCAAGCAACTGCGCTGGTGTTGGTATGTACGCGTGAAAGTTCTATTGAACATCAAAACGATTGTTTCTATCCGCAATAGAAATACAACGCGAGAAAACCGCAAAAATCAACATAAAAACCGCCGTTTCATTGGTTTGGCAATTGTTAATTGATTTAGAGCGATTTCGGTGAATTAATTAGTTATTAACAACAGAACTTTGGAAAATTGAATTTATTTTTGTTGAAAATCGATTAAAAAGATGATTTCCACTTACCCGCAATAACTGTTGACGACAGAATGACGAAAATACAGCAACAGGTATACAATGGCGACCATCGTAAATACTTTGAATTTCCCTGCATTGTATTTGTGGAAAAATCTGCAATCGAAAAGTCAAGAGCGTTAAAAATGTAGTTGAATGCGTCACATGGAATTTGCGTTGAATAAAGAGAATAAAGATTGGATTAAATTACAATTGGATTAAATTAATAAATATATTTATGTATAATTGGATTGAGCTTCAATACACACACACTCTACGGCTATAACAACAAATGAAGGAAATAAGTTTGGCAAATTGCTAATTAGTTCGAGAGTTGTACCAATCTGTTGCAGTTGACATTTGAACTATGATCCGAACGTAAACTTTTTAATTATAATTTCATAGCCGGAATATTAAGCAGACGTCGGGTATGATGATGACGGCGACAATCGGCAATGACGCTACCGATTCAAAGTGATAAATAAATTAAATGGATTCACAAAAGGTACAACCACATGAATTGCTTTGTGCAATTCTATTTCGATTTAATTCGATGTTGATGTGAAAATTATCGCCTGAAACAACACTTCATTATAATCACAATGTGCGAAAAAAACAACAACAACAGCAAAGCATATATTGAATTTTATGTGTGGTAGAAATCGAATCGGCCAATATTTGGAATTGATTGCATTTCCATGCGAATTTACTAACGGGCATATACATTCGACATGTGTATGTATCGTTTGTCGTAATTATGAGATAATTTATATAATTTATGGCAATTATTGACCGTATTGATATAGAGCCGTATAATTATCCAAAATAAACGTGCGTTAACGATGCACACACACCGTTTGCTTATGTGTGTGTGTGTTTGGCATCGAATGAATTGAATGTATTTTACAAGCGATGCCAGTGGCGAGTAAACGCATCACTGCGATTATCCCATTTAAAGACATGAGTAAATAAAATAGCGAATCGCTCCAAACGGGCCTCATGTTTATCGTGATTCATCATCATATTTAGTGTAAATAGTACATAAATATATTCAATTTGATGGTCTATTGTCACCAAGAATCACAACAAAAACAAAAACATTAACAAAAAAGTTGTGAACAGTGAGATGACACAGGCAAGCCGAAATTTGAATATATGTGACTTCTGTAAATTGCATGCATTAACAACGAATTAAATAATGCGTACACCATATAATTTTGAAGTCAGTGTATCGTCGACGATCTTTTCAATATATTTTAGGCTAACAACACAATGCTTTGACGAATAGTTGAAGGCAACACCCACAAATACTAACAGACAATGGCTAGTATACAAACAAAATTACATGGTTTTTTTGTGCATGATTGTGACGCAGCATATACACTGAAAATACGATCATACGTTTACATATACCGAAATGAAAAGTGAATCGCTTAAATGCGATAAAATAGATATTATTTTGAATAAAATTTAATATCATTATCGCGATACTGTTTATGGTAAATCAATAAAAGTAATTATCGAATATCAGCGATCTTAATTATAAATAGTGCCAAAGCTCATTAGAGTAGCTTAATGATTTGCGGAACATTTTATAATATCATAAATGCGGCAAATTCTATTATATGAATTATTTTGGTGCAGCACCCAAAATAAACTGCTAGATAATAATAGATAATTGACAGATTATTCAATTTCATGTGGCTATGTTTAGCATAATGATTGAGTCACTCTCGTTTCGGGCGAGTTTCAAATGGATAGTTAGATTGACGAATGTCTTTTTCCTTTTGCTTCTTTGTCGATTTTTTTTTCTACTTCCAGACTTTTTGTTAGACATTCTATAGTTCGAGTACCGAAAAAACTTGTGTTTTTTTTGTTCATTCTTTTGTCAAGATTGTTCGCAACAAAAACAATGACCTTGAGAGTTATCGTGAATTTTGCGGCTCGGTTGCACGTTCCTATTTACGTATCGGACTGTTCATTGTTCCGTGCAAAGAGAATACAATATAACCGACTCGATCAACGTTAAAAGCAGAATGCATGATTATTTGGCTATTTTCTAGTTAACGATACATTGCCCAGGAACAATGCCAACAAAAACGCTAAACACTATTGATTACCGGAGAGAATGGATCAGCATCACGTCTGTTCGTTGTTGTTGTTTTCTTTTCTTCTTTATTCATATCTAAGCAATACAAAAAATCATTGTCAGTCAATTACATTGTTAAATGCTTGAAAAACGATAAATTTTTTTCTCGCTCACTTCGATCAGATTTACATAATTGCGCAAAAATATTGACACGGAATACATATTGAAATGCGGAAATATGGATATCACTTGAAAATCGGTCTCGAATTTCCAATGAAATCGTGCCGAAGAATTTACAATTTATTCTAGGAAGAGAATTCATTCGTTGCCAATTTGCGGTTTTTTTATGCGACGTTGAGGTAAGACATTTTTTCAACATTTTTTTGATCGAGTTGTCATAAAATGATGACTTTAAGTGTAACACCATCGAGGTTTTTATGAATGAACAACTTTTACTACCAAAAATCACGAATTCGATGTGTGATTAATATTCATTCACAAGAGTGTTTGCTGGTGAAATCGAATGTTTGTCGATCTTCGTGCGCTCAGCAACACATGGTGCTGAATAACTGTGTACACCATTTAATTTACGAGCTTCTGGTGCTAATCAACCATTGAATAATAATAACGGCAAAAGAATTTGGCCTGAATTCGTCACTTTTAATTTTTTGTTTTAATTTCAAATGTTTGGCATGGTGATATCGCGTTTGATTGCAATCGACAATTTTTGACGGAAGTGAATTCATTCGACCCAAGAAATTCTCAAAAAAAAAAAAAAAAAAAAAATCAAAATTACGAGCAATGCTTTTGTTTTAAATAGTAACGATAATAGCAATTTCTTTGTGTATTTGCTTTTTGTTCCCCATTCCGGTAATTAAATCGCAAATGAGCATTTTCGTGATAATAGCCAGAGAGACCACACTGTGTGTATGTGTGTTTGTTTGTGACGATATTAGCATACAATCAATTTGGTATTCACATATGAAAAGCAATGCACGTGCGCTTGCTAATCACAAAATACTTCAGGTATATATGTGATTTACATGTACAAGACGTCACCTTCAATTTGTACACATTCGGAGCTATCGATATCGGACATGATGTTATTGTTATTGCTTCCGATCAAATGTGCACCACTTGGTATGCAAATCAATTCCATCCGAAATCAAAGTCTGCAGTTTCGAATCAACGATGTGTACACTGTGCAATTTGAAAAAAAAGGAAACATTCAATCACAATCACGTTTTACATTCTTTTATTTCAGCGCATCGATTTAATATCTAGTTGAAATCAATTTCATTTTAATAACAAATAGTACGGACCGTAAATTATGATTTCATTCTAACGAAACATTTTCAAAATGGGTGAAATAAGAATTTTTTTATGTGCTCGCAGAAAGAAAATTTCCAAAGTCGAAATAAAACGAAACATTCTTGATTTTCTGATAGTTTCGAAGAGATAGCAAACGTCTCGACGGTGATAGTAATCGAACACGAACAACCACTTTAATTGAATTCCGCTTGAGCGTAGACAATTGAAATCGATGTCGTTAAAAGTGGAGAATAATTCCCATAAAAAATTCATTGACTTTTTTCGTTGATAACACAATTTCAATTCAAATAGTATGATGAGATTATATAAAAAATCGAGTAATTCCACTTCGAGTGACATTTTCGTCGTTTGACTCAGTTATGCAAACATATTGATTTTTTTCGCATTATTCTCGTGGATATTTTTTTGTGGTATACATGTCAATTCAAAAATGTGCATGCACAAAGAAAATAATTGAATAAAGGCGAATTTTTGACGAGGAAAAACCGCCCGGAACAATAGTTGTCAAAGTAAAAATGCGCGACCTTGTGATATTTTGCCATAAATTTGCATCCGAACAAACAAGCGGGTGATACTAACATCAATCGGCACCTCAAAATGTAAACAGCACACTGTTTTTGTCATTTTGCCAATAATTCAATGTTCTAAGCGTATAAATTTGTCAAAAGACGCCATAAATATTGGATAACGTGTGTTGGGGAGTCAATTCATTGAAAAGAAGGCAGGTTTACATTATTATTATTAAATGTGCTTGACTTTCATAGCGACCGCGAGAGTAGGTGCTCGTATCAGAATGGGAATATTAAACAAACAAAAAACTTGAATGTAGTTTAAAGTTTGATTCGTTATTTCGGTTCGTTGATACGTGTTTGAACTTTCGTTTGGTCACGAAACTCCACTCGTACAGTCTGTACACGTGAGATCTCTTGAATTGAATTGTTTTTCGGCAAATGTTCGCGTGCTGGAGAGTATTAATATCTTGTAATCAGGTGAGAAAATTTACTTTTGATTGATGCACACATTGACAGGAAATGGAAAGTTTTCCGACCAATAATGCATTAAATTCACGCTTCACAGTGGACAATAATTGAAAACTAACAACTTTATTCAATGGTCACATTTAGAAAAATATCACACAGAATTAATGAGATCTAATCGACCATGTGCATGTTCTCTAGTCTAGAATAGTATTAAAAATGCTCATTTCAACAAAAAAATGCAACAACAACAACAACACATAACGTGGTGTGAATTCACGAAAGAGAAATGCATTTGATTTATATGGTTTTCATTGTTCTTCCATACAAAAAATACCCGACAAAATATTTTCTACAAAAACCAGTATGGAATTTCGTAATAAAATGAATTTATTGATGTAAAGGCAAGTATATTTTTTCTGTGTACGGTGTTTTTTTGGAATTGTTTCAGTTGGTAAGTGCCATAAAGCTAAGTGCATGCATAAAATGTACAAAAGATACACAAACGACTAGCCGTACATCAAAGAGGAAAAGTAATGCTTACGGTAAATATACACAGAATGCCCGAAATGTTATTGTTTGAACTGAAAGTTATTTTAATTTGGCGTAATCGAGACATATTTTTCGGAATGAATGTGATTAATTGCTCGGCTAATTTAGTGGCAATAAATTAGTTCGAATGGAATTCTTTTTTTCCTCACACAAACACAAAAAGTGCTGCTGACTACGATGGTACTGCTTACCACTGAAAAATCAACTGTATAGAAAATCAACTGTATAGATAAAAATCATACCGAAATTCGATACGGAAAAAATCGCAAACAGAGTCGCAGAATCGAGCCAAAACTGTCGAAAAACACAACCGTACTCACAATGGGTGAAAATAATGAAATGTCACAATGCATCGCTTTGTATTTCAATAAAAACCGCATAAATCGATTAAATATTCACTTAGAAATGGATGTAGGGGTCTTTTTTTAACGTTGAATATAAACAACGGCATTTTGCGAACGGTGTTGCACATGACTTGTGCCGATTTTTGTGAGAAACCAGGTGGATCCAATAACCCGATACTACATATTTGCACAAACTCATCGTAAAATCGATGAGCGTGTCCGTCGTCATAGCTGCAATAAATTTTGTTTACATTTTGCTTGTAATGCATATTTTTTTTCGTAAACCAACGAATATTGAGCGTTCAAAACCCGAGACTCATTTCAGGATCGTTCACTTTGTGAATGATAAGACAAATTATTTCGAATAAGTCAACAATAAACTTTGAAACACTGCGGTAAAGTATTCAAGCGACGATGACGACGACAATGGGTGTTCTATTCCTTTGAACATGCGACACAGTCACAAGTTGTTTGGATTGTTGTATAGCAACATGCGCGTCACTTCGAAATGCTCTGGAATGCATCTGATATAGAAATTGGATTACGGCACGTTGCAGTCAGAAAATGGAGCGGGGGGATTTGATAGTAAAACAAATCAAGGATCATGGATACCAACAAAAGGCTACATTTCGGAAAGTTGAATAAACTTAATTTAAATATTTTATATGTATACATTGTATAATTCATCAAACGACGCGCACACAGCGATATTTTGTCAACTTGATGCCAACTATTTGTAATTACACGTTTGAAAAGTTTTTTTTTCGATAAAATTCGTGCATTCGTCACTTGCTTTACACTGCAAAGGAAAACTTCGGTCTTTTTTTCCAAGGCAAAATTCATTTTTTATTTTCTTATAATGAACTTTATCATAACTTTACTTGAGCGATAAACTTTCATGTCTAAACGAAATTTAATTTGCTGTCCAAATCGTGCAACACGCTTATCGTCGTCATCGTTGTCTTTCAAGTGAGCAATGATTGTGATTGAATAAAACGGTAACATAGTTTTCCGTACATTCTAACAGAAAATTATTGGCCAATCTTATGCTTGTTAAAATTAAGATCGTCACTTGCTCTGGGTTCGAGAGTTCAAATTGTTTTACACAATTTCAGTTGAAGTTTTCTTCAGAGGAAAAAAAAGTGTTATAACACGATGAAAACCAGTTTTAATTTTGTCGTACATTGGCTTCTTCACTTTGGTGCAATCAAAACGAAAATATGCACGATAAACTTATTTAGTTAAACTAACAACTATCGTACACATGATATAAAATCGTTTTTGTACGATTCACACTCATTCAATTTGATGATGTCCAGGCAGTGTGCAAATTTTTCTTGCAATTCAGCATTTGTCGCTTTGTCCATTTACTGGAGTAGCGATAAAATTTAAATTTATGCTAATTTCGGTTCGCGACCGTGGCCTTCTTCAGTCATAAATCAACGCATAGTTGTGGCGAGCAATGGTGTTTTAACTTTTAATGGATATGTACCACAACCGTTACCTCATTTACTATTAATCATATAGCGGTAAATCGCAATCATCTAGTCAAATGACCAGTGCACAAACATCGAACGACAAAACATATGTTCACATCGATTTATATTTAAAATGTTGATGTTTAATGAAACCCAATTAAAATGATTCTGGGAAACGGCGAAAAAAAAAAAACAAAACGAACAGAGTCATAAACAGCAAAATATTTGGGTTTAGAAAATATTAATTAAACATGCAGTAATCAACATAGATAGAATGTTATTTATTTTGTGTTTTTATGCTTGCACAAACACCGTTTGACATTGTTAAATAATTCGGAGCAACAAAAAATGATTAAATTATCAATGGTTCATTTAATCGAACAGCGACTGAACTTTTTTTGCACATCATAAATGCGATACGAACTTTTTCACTTCAAAAACATTACCGAATACCGATAATAATGATAATAGGTTATCAGGTAGACTTTATGCAGCAGTGAATTGGTTTCGATTCAATTGCATTCGATTCGCCTTTATAAGAGCCATGCATCTGCAGTTGAAATTTAATATTCAATATAAAACCAATAAAATGAGAGCTGTATTCGCATTTGTTTTTATGACAGTGGCATTACTTTTGGTCATCGATCAATATAGTTGTCATTCAAACACCGACGTATCGTGTCCAGATATATATGAAGGAAGACCCGTTCAATGCTATTTCTACGAACGTAAGTAACTGCACAAGTGAATAGTTTCGAAATGAAATGACATTCTTGAATATTCTTTTCAGTTCATCGTGGTGATAACTGCGGTACTCGCATCTACACTCAATTTCCTTATCAGCAGAGAACATGCTACTGCTGCTGGAAAGACTAAATACGCTGAAATATCTTCAATCAATTGAGTTCAAGATGAAACTATCCAAAAAAATTCAAATTATATAGTTGAATTGAAATAAAATTGACGAATTTTCATACATTTTTTTTTTTCATTTATCATAAACAGTATTAATTTTTAAGCAAATGATTCGAGACAGATCGTTAAAAACAAAAAGCAGCTAAATTATCAATGCAGTGCAATAGTTGAAAATTGCTTGGCCTTGATTTCAATTTTTCCCAATTTCAATAGGAACGAGTTCAGAATAAGTATAAAAATAACTGTTGTGTCATAATTTGGAATTTTAAAAATATGACGAGCAACATGTCAAGGTAAAGCTTAAGCTTATTACAACATTTCTTGCGATTATCTGTGATGCATTCGTATTTTTGTTAGAATCCATGTGATGACTGGTCAAGTTGCAACTTGAACTAAACAAAAATGAAAACTCTCTTTATATTGACAATAGAAACAGCTTATAATCACGATAAGATTGATTATTCATCTACGATCAGAACATTTGATTCATCAATTTCAGATTTTCTTGAACACATTTTTGAACTCTTCAACTTGTAAACGGGTTTTGTTCCTATTGCCCCGCTCCATAGACAATAGATTTTTAAATAAATTGATTGCAGTATCGAAAGATGATCCACGAATGTATTCAGTCACACGTGAATTTGTTAAAATAGACATTTTTTAAATTATGAATCAACTGTTAGATCTTCCGTCAAGATAAGCTTATTTAAATGAATAGCTACGTGCGAGTAGGATTTATTATTTTGAAGCATAGTCAAGTATAATCAATAAATTGAATTCTTTTATGCTGTGTAGCAGCTAATCAGTTCAATCACGTTATAATCGATACGTTTCAACTTTCGGCTCGAGTGTCTGATTGAGTTTTTATTTATTTCAAAAATAAAATTGTGAGAAGCGATTTGCACGCAATAAGTTGTTTGAATGAACAATTTGACTGATGCCAATGTAAGTTGAAACTATTACAAACATTTGCTAAGCTACTATAATCATGTGCATCCTCGACATCGACACTGACAAATGTCGAATTGCATCGAATTTCAGCATGAAACGAATTTTGACGCGCATCTTTTCCGAAAAGAGTGTATTCATCTGTTTCAATCGGTTTCGTTGAGAGTTCAATTTTGCGCGAAAGTGACGGTAACTCTAATTAAATCACTCTTCCAACTTTATTGTGCTGTATACATGTAGAAGTGTGTGTACAGCCGACTATAATGATGCAAATCAGTTAATTATTCATTTCTGGTTTATTTATTTTTCTCGCGCGTGAACACAACAAATGTTCTGTGAGATATCATTGGTCATGAATCATTTTTTTTTCGTACATTTTTTTCTGACTCGAATATTTACAAATAAATCTATTTTTTCATTTGGTATTAAAATAATCACTTTTGTTTAATATTTTTATGTGAATGAATAAGTCCATTTCAGCAAAAAATAAACCATATGTATATGATAAAATGTTAACGAACTGAATCAAAAGTGACAAATAAAACACGACACAAAGACGAAAAAGAAATAAAGCGATACCATGGAAAGAAAAAAAAAAGAATTGTCTATTTGTATGACACATGGGGATATTGGAATTTTGCGTGCTCATACCAAACAACCCGATATGAATAACACCAAAACTATGCAAATGTGTCAATAATAAAAAGATCAAACCATTGCACTAAGTTTGTATGGTCAAAACTTACCGGTTTTTCTTTCTATTGGTTCTTTCGGAGAAATGCTTTGGAATACATACACACAAAACTGCAAAACGAATCGACGACTCTTTTTACGGATCAATAGACGACGGTCGATTGACTAAAGGAATTTCTTTCTTTCTTTTTTTTGGTAAGGTTGTAAGAGACAGAGATAGTGAATTTTGGTGTACGATGTGATAAAATGGCAATATAAATATATGAAACAAAATCGAAAATAAACACGTGCGGTCAGGTAAATGCCATCGTTTCAAACGAAAAACTTACAACAACCAAGCAAATTCGAATGCGCAATAGATTGTTCGTGTTATCAGTATATGTTGCAATAGAAATGCGTAGATTTGTGTGCCCAATGTTGCTGTGTTCGAAGTTTCTCGTAGACAAAAGATGCCTTAATTGAACCTTCTTAAAATTCGTTTTTTTTTTCGTTTCTACGTTTTGTGTCGTTACTTTTGACGTTAATTTTGTGTTATCTATTTCGCGTTCTTTGCTAATCACACGATGCTGACGGCGACTCACACTCTTGATCAATTGTAGTTTATCTACTTAAAGTATTCTGGTTTTGCTTAATGCTTTTTCTTTTCGGATTTTTTTTTTGGTTCTCTTCACAAATTCTTTTTTTTATTATTATTTCGGATCTAGAATATGAAAAATTAAATACTATAACGTGATATTTAATTGATGGAAAACGAACTGCGAATCGAGAGAAATAAAAATATGTAGTCAGTTTTATGTTCATAAATATTTTATGAATCACCGAGTGCGCACTATATCGATGAAAAAATTGGTTACACGCAAACTTTATTATTTATATTTCATTACAATCTTGGTTACGGGCATTTGTTATTATTGCTCTTCGTTCCGAAAATTTGTGTGTGTGTACTTTTTTCGTCGTCAGTTGTTATTATTGCTACTGTACAGAGATTTTCTTATTATTATTATTGGCTCTTTTGTATTTAACTAATTTAATCGTATATATACTTTTCGCGCTGCCTCTAATTAATTACTTATCAACATCGCGGTCTCGTCTAATTGACTGGCGCGCGCGCAAGAAAAATATTCATTTCAGAATCGCAAAACAAGACAGGCGATTTATTGAAAGAGATAGAGAGAGGGGAAGAGTTGCAAATTTAATGCGGTCTTTAAAATTTCATTTATTTACAGCAATTACACGAATATTCACTGGTTGTTATGGAAATTTTAAGTTTGATATCGATGGATTTCAAAAAAAAAAAACAAACGCCGATGAAATTTAATTATATATGTGACGAGGAAATGCTAGAACTTTTCTGGCTTTAGAATATTTCGACTGCTATTTCAGAATAATTTGAATAGGTTTTTTTGGGTTTGTGCGATTTACTCAATTTTTTATCATTTAAGATTTTTTTTTAAATTTTCAACTTCTTTTCTATAAATATATGTTTTACTCATTTTCAATTTTGATTTTTATTTTAAAAAAACTTTCATATTTTATCATAAAAAATTCTCTCCGAAATATTTTCAGCAAAAAAAAAATGTGGATAAAAAACTATTTGAGAACTCGCAATTTCCGTTGTTCTGTCAATTTCAAATTTCGTTTCGAATTAATAAAAAAAACGATGATAAATCAAGTAATTAATTTACCGATTATAAAACAATCAAACACCCGAAATAGATTATGTTATGACTTGTGTGTTTTGCACAATATACACGGCACATTGAATTATTGAGTCGAACGATACACGATCAAACAAACGATATATAAAAATAACAATCATCAACTGAACTGAACGCCAGCGACAACACAGCGCATAATATATACGTCTACTTACATTGAATCTTTAGTTAAAACTAAATATTACAAGTTCAAAAGCACTGGATTTTTTTTCATTGGCCGTTTTTCCGTTTTGGTTACACACCAAATACAATTAGCGTATAATGTAAAATACATAGAGACAGCGAAGAATGTATAGTGTGTTGATTTGTTGTGTTTTTTTCTCTCTCTCTCTCTCTTCGTTCATTTTTCTTTCGTTGAGTTTGGAATCGGTCGTCGCAGGCCGTGTGTGTGTGTGTTTGTGTACCTTTTTAGCTACCTGTACAGTTGAGCATATATTTATAATCAACAATATAAAATACACAAACAAATGCAAAGCATGATCGTGTTGCGTTTACTCAATGCTATGAACTGATGGTTGTATTGTTAGTCTATTCATTGGTTTGGATTCTCTCACTCTTCCTTACCTCTCTTTATGTGAGAGAGAGCTCGGTAAACAGTGCACATTGTGTGCAAATGCAAACACATGCAAACATTTTATCGAAGTTTATACAAAAAGGTAGACGAAGAAAAACATCTAAAGAGTAAATGAGATAGAGAGAAAACGCATCGATACCAATACGAATGAATATTTTTGATTACGCGAACTCGCGCCCACTGACAACGGCGAATAGTTTAAATTCCATCTGGTTTATGAGTGTATGCGTGTTATGGACGATATATGCCATGTAAATTACCAAAGAGAATTAAACCATCTCTTTTTTTTCTAAATAAATAATTCTTTCATCTCCCTTTTGAACACCTTTTCTCCGGATTTTGCTCAATTCATATTGCCGTTGCATTAATATTTTTCGAAATCTGCAAAGAGACAGAGCGATTTCGCACACATGGCAAACATCCAAAATGCATTCTTTTCTCTGCGCTACCCAAGTATGTGTTTAAAATGCCGGTCACATAAAGATTGAGCTTCGTCTATGCGGCTGTAATTTCACGAAGAAATTCTTTGTGTATTTGATTGTGTACATTGGAATCGTTGTGTGTGTTGTATGCGCGCTTTTATATGTTGGTATCGTATGATTTCTGTTATGAAAAATGAACATACCGCACAAGGGAACCGATTTATAAGACGATTGTATTTCTAATGGAGTACCTGTACTGATAACTAAATGAATTCGCTGTCGTTGTTGTTGCTATCGTCGATTAAATTGCACATCACAAACACACTCAATCCAGATTATTATATTTGAAATGTGGGGGAGAGTAAGATCAAACATACCACAATCACTTTAAGCTCAAAATCATATTTTCATATATCATAGCAAGTGTGTGGCTCTACTCGAATTCCGTATGCATTACACTCGTGCATACAAGCACCAAAGAGACACAGAGAAAAATTATCGACTTTCGATTCTTTGTCGCACGCTCTCTCGCTCGCATATTTTCTCAATAAATTCAAATTTTAATTTATTATTTATTGGAAATTCTGTTAACGTTGGCGTTTATGCAATTTCTCGATAACTGCGTCGATATATGCTAAGTAGCGTGCTGTATTTTATTCCCCATGTAAAAACTGAATATCTCGTAAAGCAAAAAAAAAACCAAGTTGCGTTGTCAACATTTAAATCATATATAACATGAAATTATGCGACAAATTGAAAACAGTTTGCAAAAACTCGATCAGATTTTTGCTGGCATTTGAGTTCATTAAAATTTTAAGACATCGACACAATTACATGGATCACATCGAAATGAGATTGATGTTTTTTCTCTGTCAACGGAAGAGGGTAAAAATTGTTCAAATTAATTTTAAATTCATCAATTTTTCGATGCTTGTTCCTATACTGTAATTTGGAATACCACTTTAACAACAGAACGAAAGATTAAGTGAGAAAAAGTGTATGCGAGAGAGAGAGAGAGAGAGAGAGAGAGAGAGAGAGAGATGGAACCATCACTCGACATCGGATAATGAAAAAGGCGACTTAGCACAACCATCTCAGTATTTATATGTTGATATTGAACTTGATGTTGGTGCCTGTGTTTGGATTTATCGAATCTCTATGCTTCTGCCATACATACACATTTCATACACATGATGCATATAGAATTGAGTGCGAGAGAAAGAGTACCAACGAGTCAAGTCAAGCAAATCCAAGACAAAATACCATCTGAAGTATCGATCAAGTATTTGCTTAGACAGTCGGTGTAATATGCTGCTGCTGTTCCAGCACGAATGAAGAGATGGTTGCCGCGGCAACGTTTCTATAATGAAAACAAGCATATTTACCAATTACATTCACATATGCAAACATTGTTCGTATATTCCATCGCGTGCGTCTATCGTCGAACATTTTTTGTCCCAACCAATTTCGTTCGTATGTGTCTGTATGATGGTAATATATTTTACGATTTTTGCACACCGGCAAGTACGTGCGATGAGATTCAAATATTTATTTGAAAACCGATTCTTTCTTCATCTCTTTCTTCATTCTGGGTTGTTTGCTGTTCCGTTGTTGCTCTTGTCCAAATGTTATTTCCTTTAAATAAAAATCGTTTTGATAATCAGATGTAATTCCACGCCGATTTCATGATCACATTTCAAGCACACGTAGTTCACGTGTATTCCTACGTTTCTTCATCGTTGTCTTCTTCTACATTTCTTTTTTGTCGAAGCGTTGCTGCACTTTTCGCTAGTAAGTGCTGGCCGCAACAAAAAGTTGGCGAGGTTACGCGAATACTGCATATTTTACTGTGCGTTCAAATAAAAACCGTTGCGCAACTATATATGGTCATGATTTGGTGTGTAATTGAGCGCTTACCAAAATGCATTTCTTGCATAAAATTGGATCGGAGTGAACGAATATACATTTTTATCGGTTCGCGCGATGATATGATGATTCAATATGGTCTTGATGTGTATGTGTCTTGTCGAAAGACGAACAAAAAGGAAATAAAAATCGTATCGAATATTTTTCATGCGATTTTCTTATTCTTCTACTCGTCGTTTATTTGTTTTGCGTGAATTGCAATCGTGCATTTAAATCCAGTTTGAAAATGGTAAATTTTGCTGAAGATGCACGAAAAAAAAACGCGCTCAGGTGTATTTCAGTGGGTCTTGTGTGTGAAAATTGCGAAATATAAATTCACTCTGGTGGTCGTACCACGCGACTTTTCTCTCTCTCTCTCGCTTCCTCTCTCGTTTTCTTTCACTTGAAATATTTTGCTGACGATGAAAATCGAACATAAAAACAAAATCGAAAGACACCTTTTTTTCGCAACGATGGTCATTTTGTCAAAGCACGCGATTCCAATCACCTGATCCAACTAAAAAATGTTATCCAAATAAATGTCACTCATATGTCACACTTCGGTTTTGCTTACGATGAAAAAAAAAAACGTAAGAAAAAAGGTGATCGAATCGTTCGCATCAAGAAAAAGTACTTGTTTATCGTTATGTCACTTGAATGAGATGCTATATTTAAAGGGGTTGAATCTTAGTCATCTGATAACATTCCATTCATTTGAACGCACGTAAATCGACGCATTTTTAATAAAATGACGATAATTTAGACGATTGAGCGTTTACAATAATCGTGCCACATAAATCATTAATATTTTACATATAAAAGCGGCATACATTTGTTGTCCTATGCTTTAAAGTGCAAAACTATTTGATTTTCCGTTCAAGTTCAAGTTAATCGCTCACGTTCGAAGCAACAGCCATCGTAGCAGCAGTAGCAAACACATATATTCTCATTCACACCGCCACCTCGCCAGCTGCGAATATCAGCGTATCTATCCATACATGTCTCTTTCGTTTGTATTGATGTTGACTGCGCGAACAAAAAAAAAATCGTCGACAAACGTGCTGACGATCAATGAACTGGCCATACGATCGTGATACCTTCAATTTTTTAGTTCGCATCCGCAAACGTTTGTTGAATTTTCGTCTATTAGCCATTGAATTTACATTAAAATAGAATGAACGATAGACAGAGACAAAGATTTGTTCACAATACTCACATGTTGAGGCATCACCGATTGGCAAATAGTTAATTTCTGTTATTTGTTTGCCGCTATTAAATCAATGGTTATTGTGTGCTTCGACGATTACAAGCTATAAAAAAATATCTTTTGTAGCCGGAATATGTAATAAAAGAGTTGCCAGCAATTAATTGAATCGATGTAAAATGAAATCATTGTAATGCCATTGAAAATTGGCCTATAATTTACAAATCGTGTAACTTGAATGGGCATCGATTGTCATTCATGATATCATTCACAAAACAGTTGGTCCCTTATCCGTATAATCTAAGTCGCAAATAATATGGTTTGGTCGATACTAAATTGACCCAATTGTTTGTCTAGGCTCAATTTGTTAGTCTAGGCGTCATTGATTATCACCGTAATAAACTGATTCAATGGTCATCGTAAATTTGTTTTGAATAGAATTTTGATGTGACACTCTGTTTGCTCTGGTGAGCGGCATATTTTTAAACCACACATGGTTAATATTGTTATTTATTTTACTTGAAATGGATAGTGAATATGTAAATTAATGACGACCGCGACGGTTTGGTTTATTATTCGAAAAAATAGCACAAAAAGATCGAAAGTTATTTATTACTTGAGCACCAGAATCATGTCTAGCAGGTGGGATTGATTTTGGGGACGATTTCCGCTTCTAGTTGCATCATCATATGAAGATATTTGACTGAGACATACGTTCAACTATGTTTAATAACAGCTTCCATTTTTGAACGAAGAGGAACGTCTTTATTTTGTTTTCGTTTTTAGTTTTATTGTTTTTCATTGATTTAAATGGTCATTCCATTCGAAAGTGTTATTAATTCGACAGAATACCGTCAAAATAGATACCAAATATGATGAAGCTAGTGCCAAAACAACAATAATCTCCGTCTGTTTTACAAAAATATATTCTATGACTCTATGACAAACACGGATTTATTAATCATTTGAATAAAATACTTATTCTGAGCAATGCGTGCGAAGAGAATACAACGTGTTAGCTTAATAGCCGATCATCATCATGAGATAGCGT